AGGCGTAGAAGTCTAGAAGATCTAGATACATTTTTTTAAATGTACGGTAATAAAATATTAGTTCTATCGTATTAGATAAAATAATTAGGTGATCAATAAATAAGGTCCAGGTCCCACGCAAAGATTTTTAAATATACCGACTTCTAGTACCAATATTGGGTTTTGCGCGCCTCTTTACTGATTGTGTTCTTAACTTGATTCTTGCACTATTGTCGACATTTTTACTCTGCTTCATTTAAGATTACATTAAAACAATTATCATCATTTATTTTTATTGTTACAATCGTTAGTATTTTGTCGTTTAATGTCTAATCTCCGAAATGTTATATTCTATTAATCTTACCGTCCCGCCGTAATACAAAGCTCTTGAATAAACATGATAATAAAATGATCCCACATATCTTTCCAGATTACGCACAGAGGAGTCAAAATGAATTATTAGCAAAATAAATTCATATTATTTTCGTATTTCTTTAATAGAATGCGTGGGCGAAGTGATTCGCGATAAGAAAAAACAGCTGCAACAAAAACGATCGTAAAATTATTGTTATACAGTGGACATTGGAAGCATGCCATTTTCAGCAGGGCTTCGTATCTTAGTTGACCACTATATTACTATATAAAGATTGATTTAAAATACATATTTGTTATATCTTGATAGACGCGGTAACGGCTTTGAAAAAGGAAAAAACGCACAATCAAGTCATGCTATCTTAGTTTTTGTCGTATTATTCTGTATCTGTTATTTTATTATATTTCTTTATAGGCAAGTAGATGATCAGACAACTCTTCGAGCTTTTGGTCCAAGTTATGCCATGTTCCTCACGATGCTTTTGTGTGTTAAATTCATAGATAGGTTGTGATATTTTACACTCCAATACGTAATATAATTAGCACGGGTTTCAATAAACAATTAATACAGTACTACTAACCACAATACTAATCCTACATATTTCTATTTCGCATAATCAACGTACATTGAATAGCCCTGCTATTTCGCCTTCCATTTTAATCAGATTTGCTACTTTGAAACGTCAACGCAAAGATAAAACCCGTTTGTTATTATTTGAAAATATTTGTGGCCTAGATTCGTGCATTACTATGATTATTGCGTTTACTCATCGCTTTGAAATGTTTCAAATCATTTTGCGTTGGTTTTAATCGGTTTTATAAATACTGCCAATCATAATATATGAATAGACAAGACATACAAAACGGTATTGTACTCTGACATAGTATGTGATGACCACGGTTCTGCATAATTTTAAATATAGGTAGTATAAGGGTCATTTTCACAATGTATGGATAAAGTACCAAATAGCCATGCAACAAAATAAATTTGGCGTTGCGTAGAGATGTGGGGTCACTCTGCATCTTCTACCGCATTTACCATGGAGAGTGTTCAGAGGAGTTGTTCGGATTAATACCTGCAGCTGAGTTTCGTCATCGGACGTCGAGGCAGAGTACGAAATTCCACCCGTATCACCTCGACGTCCGCCGTTCCACAACTGAGCGTTTTTCAAGGCAGTTTTTGCCGCGCACCACCACTTTGTGGAACCAGCTGCCCACTGAAGTATTTCCGAACCAATTCGACTTAGGGTCCTTCAAGAAAAGAGCGTACCAATTCTTGAAAGGCCGGCAACGCACTCGCGAGCCCTCTGGCATTGGGAGTGTCCGTGGGCGGCGGTATCACTTAACATCAGGTAGCATCCTGCCCGTTTGCCCCCTGTTCTATAAAAAAAAATATGTTTGGAAGATAAATTGTGCTATTTGACATTCATCGGACTCATAACTTATGATGGACTTTATGTGACGAATAGCGCCATCTGACAGTCGTGAAACGCAACAATAGTGTTTATCCTACCAATAAGTAATAAATAGCTAATTTGGAACTTATGTAGAACTTATCCGTACATTGTGAAACAGACCCTAAGTATCTGTAATTATAGTAAACAGATCAAGAAGCATTATACAGATTTTGGCAATATTTCTTTGTATATATAGTGTTGAATTGTTGTTACATAATTATATAAGTATAGTACGATAACCACAGTTAAAGTTACGGCTCTATTAAACTAAATTAAGTCTTGCAATGATGTCATGATGTGAACTTATGATCACAATTAACATTTAGTTCAGTTAAGGTAATTAGTTTAGGTGTGTATATTAAAATGTTTATTTATTTAGTTCGTAATACTACAGCTGATATAAATTATATACAACAAAAGCAATTATACTTAACATCTAGCCAAAGATAGATAAATAATATATACAAGAAGTTTCAAACATTTACAAAAGGAAAAAAATCAATAAAAATTATTTAATACGTAATACATATTTCGGCTGTGTTGTGTGATGTTGTGAAAGTGAGGGTGTGTATGTGGGGTATGCTCATGATGCAGGTGATTTAGCGCTATGGATATTCTTAATACTTGTTTTAAGAATATTCCGCGGGCTTAAACAAGTCAAGGCTTAAATAGTGGTCGTTGTAAGTCCGGGCTTCGCGATACAAAACTGAGTTTTTTGCATAGTTGGTGTTGATGTGAGGAACATGAAATTCAGTATGATTACGAGTCTGTTAGGCAGGTACATGGAAGTGCAATTTCTCTAGAAGTGAGCTGCAATTAATTTTATTTGTAATGATGTCATGTAGTAGCATTATATCGTAGAGAAGAAGAAGAAGTATATTATTAAGAATCTGGAATACTAATATATAACAGTTCGACTTAGTCCTTCAAGAAAAGAGAATACTGCTTAAGAGAGTATCGCTTAACATCTGGTTTGCCTACTTTTCTATACAAACAGTGAATAAAATATCTCGTACTTTCTAAGGTAAATATTTTCTTCAAAAAGCAACGTTTACTTTGAAAATTATTAAGGTAAATGATCAAATAATGAACACAAATTATCTTGTCCCTTCATAAAATATTTGACACACATAAATACTACTTTAACAGTGTAATGAACGCGAAACATCTGTAATATAAATCAATTATATTTAATCCCATTGAATGAAACGCGTACACGTTATAAATAGCAATTATTTAGATTAGATGTTTTCCGCCTGTCATGCAAATAATAATTAATATATGCAAATAGAACAATGTTATATCTCGGATGACACATAAGTGGGGTTTTGAATCTTCAAACGTGACAGCGGCCTACGCCTAACCCAGAATAATGTTTTTGTAACATCTGATTAGTAATAATAATACCAGTCAAATATAATATGTTCACAGTATTGAAATTATTTTTGGGTAGACGCTACGTCATTGATTTTTTTAAACGTAACGGCCTTTTAAGGACTGGGCCTGAAATTGGACCTGTTTAGTAATCATCGACATTGTAGTGACTACTATAATCTGTACTGGGAGAAGTATATGTATACTTTATATAATAAAATACCAAGTAAGATCTTACTTGTAGAAAGTTGAAGTGGTAACTACAACATGAATAAATCCACTTTACCGTATTCAACGAAGAACGGTTCCAGTCGTCGACGACCAATCCCTTGAGCGGCTTGATCCCTTGGCATTGCGTAGAGATATGAGGTCACTCTGCATCTTCTACCGCATTTACTATGGAGAGTGTATAGAGAAGTTGTCCGAATACCTGCAGCTGAGTTTTGATAACTGAGTTTTTAAGTTTTTGCCGCTCACTTTTACTATGTGGAACCAGCTGCCCACTGACGTATTTCCGAACCAATTCGACTTAGGGCCCTTCAAGAAAAGAGCGTACCAATTCCTAAATGGCCGGCAACGCACTCTCGAGCCCTCTGGCACTGATAGCTATATGTATATTCATCTTATTTATTTTCAGCACGACATAACAGATCAAGTTTTAGTCCGTATTAATCACAATAATCTTCTTCGTATAACAAACCAATAACATAGGGAAGCAATATGATGAGAGATACTGATACTCGTACCGTGCGACCGTACTTACGAACATAAAAAGTTCATTCGTGCCGGGATTGAATGTACAACTAACATTTCATTGAATTATTACTGTACAGTTAAAAAATATGCTTTAAATATTTAATATAAATATTATCGTCTTTGGTTGTTAATTACATAACTTGTTTATATAATGATAATTTATAGTAATTGTTCCTAGAGATGTTTTTATTAATTTTGTTTCAAACATTCTTTTATTTTTGTATCAGTGCTTCATTAGACGTTCTTGTTCTAATTGGTTTCATACTAGCCATTTGATTTTATTATTGATTTCGGCCTCAATATTATTTCGTAATGTTTGTATGTTACTTTTTGTTGGTACTGATTGGCAAAGTAAATATATTACAGTCTAAACATTGTTCGTGTATATAATTATATCCCTACTATTGACAATTGTGTGCCTTTTTCGTACATTGAGTTAAATGAGGTAGAAATTGTGTATGCCAACAGTTCTTTAGTACAGACATAATTAGACTTTGATTAACAAAGTGAATTGTGAAAATATAAAATAAATTGTAATCGGTCAACGCGTAATTACGATTTTGTATTCAATGAATAATTGGAGTGTTTTTCAATGAGCGTCAACTCGGAAAATTCGATTACAGTTAATTCACGAACACATTTTATATATGGCTTTTTTATATACAATGAGTGGGCTCGACTTATGTAACGTGATACTGCCCACGGACACTCATATTGCCGTAAGACTCGTAAGTTACTGGCCTTTTTAAATAGGTACGCAGTTTTTAGGTGGGTTCCTCCCGGAGCCTTTTTAACGTGGGCATGTATGAAATTACTCGAGGTGGTTTTAGTGGATATAATTTTTTTGAATAGCATTACTATCGTATGGAACCCCGGTTATTCACGATTTTTTCTTAATATACAAATAAAAGTGAGTCAAAGGAAACCTTCGCGACATAAGGCGTGGAAACTCGTGACGTTTTTTATTAACCAGGGAGTGGTCTTGGCATTTAGATCCCAATGTATATTTAGTTCCAATTTGACAGTTAAATTTTTATCAGATTTTACTTGGTTAAATATTGATCAACTTGACCATGGGACTAGGCCAGGCTCCATTGAATTTGGTCGTTTGGAAGGTTCTTGTTTTACCTTGATGCCTATCCTTTTCGCATAATCTGCAAGTGTCTGGCCACGTTTGTTCGGGATGACCACGGTTCCTCTGAATATTAAATATTTGAGCGTCTCTATAATTACATCAAACACTTATTTGTATATAGGTTAGACTGTTACCTTCTAACAACTAATTACGTTGGCAAACAAATGAATATAGTCATTCATCAATTAGTTAACAATACGCGAGATCTAATATCGTGCTTCTTCGTTAACATAGTTGAGAGCGGAACTTGTAAGGAAATGTAAATTATGGTTATTTAATTAAAACTTGTTTCGTTTCTCATATTTTACCTGCACAACTTCTATTAATATTGCTGAATGGCGTAATAAATTTTTATTTCAAAAAATGATTAGTTATATTATTTATGTTTGTCTCAATTTATTTAAATGCAGAACTTAATTGAATTTCGAATACACTTTTAGTACTGACTTACATTAAAATTTCCTTGAAATAAATTGATTCCGTTTCCGTTTAAAAAACGAACTAAGAAACACGGCACCGGCACTTTATAGACTCAACACAGTTTCGATTTTTAAATAATTATTCTCGTAGTTCATTGTTTTTCTCAAACCAGCCAGTGGTTTTTATGTAAGAAGTTTATATCGTAAGTAAAAATTACGATAAACCTAATCAACCATCTGCAATTCATTTTTGACCACCTATTTGTTCCCAAGAAGTGAGTCTTCTCAACCTGTAGATTTTATCCTAAACGAATTCAAAGCAAAATATACCAAAGATAAGCGTAACGTACACCCACGAAAGATTTAAACTAAAATGGTTTCGCGGTAGTGATATATTTTATGTAAAATAACGAAGCGTGCAGTGATGCGGAACCGATCGATTTTATGAAAGCATATGCAGCGTGATAAGGAATATATTGGAAAGTTAAATATTGATCGAGCAAATATGAATATGCAACGAGTTTTAAAAATATCTTTCTCTAGTAACGAACGTTCATATTTATTTATTAAAATCTAGTCCAATATTGGTCCTGATGAGTTGGCTTGATTTTGGTGGATGAGAGAAAGTTTGTTTTTCATACGACTACAGCGATCTTTTCTTCATTGATTTTGATTCTTGTTTATTGCTATGTAGGGGTCTTTATACAGGCCCTTGTTCTTGTCTGAATTATCTACTGAACTAAAACGGACAGATAAAATCAAATTTATATCTTGTACAAACATTCGTTTGTAGTCATTTAGATACAATATTATAAAAATTAAAACATGCCTTGTAATAGGCATGTTTAAGAACTAGAAGAATGAGTCATGAAATACGTATATCGACAATAGTATTTTCCATTTACTTTTTATTCTATTCTTATAATATAATTTTATCATGTAAATCTCTTATCCATCTTAATATTGAAATACAGAAAATGGGAGTCAAGTCATTATAATAAATATGGCATATATTACAAATATATTCTCGTATAAAAGGAGTATAAAGAATTTTCTGTACAAAAACATCTCCACGGATATATACGCGATTTAATTACGATATTTTCACAACTCGGCCTCGGTAAGTGATACTCGCGAGGCGAGGAGTTGCTGGATAGTACTCGTAACGTTCACTTTTGTCAATCTTGTAATCAATTCGAGAGAATATCTTCTTCTTTTTAATCGTGCACTCTTCAGAGTGGTCGTGGTCTCTAGTCCACATCGTTGTTTCGTCGTACGAAATACGCTGAGGATACGTCTATCCTCTGCAGCTTGACAGTACTTTTGAGAGTGGAGCCAGTATTTGCACTAATTAATTCGGCTCAGCGCGTCGGAGATCGTCGGAAAACGTGGCCCCGGATGACAAGAGTCTCTAAAAAGAACGTGTGTGTACTATACGCGTTGGAAGTTATACTTCTTTGGCGTAACAAGATAAAAATCTTTTCAAAAAATTTATTCACGTTTCTAGAAAAATCTAAAATTTTCACTATAGCTAACTTCAGGGTGTCGGTTTTTTGTGACGGTGTGCGCGCGCATCGTAAAAATTTACTCTCATCATTTTTCCCTAACGCGCCAAAAGAAGAACTTCAAAAATCCCTTACATGTGCCCAAAGAACTTCAACATCCGTATCAGTACAAGCGACGAAAGTCTTTCAGTATTTGAAGTTCTTTGAGGATGGAACTGTAGGTCCGAGCCGTCTCCAACACCACATCTCCAGCGCATCAACCTTTCGGTCTCCTAATTTTAGCGACCAAGTTTCCGCGCCATAGGAAAGACAAGACTGTTACATTACATTACGCAAACCTTTATCTTTTTGGTTATGCTTTTGGTCTTTCCAAACTTCACCCAAGGGCTTAACTGAATATCTCCTCTCCGTATCTCCTCCTCCGTCCTACGTCGTCTTACCCTCCCGTGTTTGAGATAGTAGGAAGGTTTATTTAAATATACCAATTTATTCTCAAGGTAATAATGAAGCATGGACAAGGCGTGCTTACCACGCCTACTATTTACATTGTCCTAATCCGAAATGATATCCATTCAATTTGAGATATGAATGTCACAAAATAACGGGTTATTTAATAAGCTAACATGTTTATTCTATTCATAAGGCGTGTCTTTATAACGAGATACTAACATCTTAAAGAATACGAATCATTAGAACTTAACGTTCGTTTCGGTATTGGTGTAGTTTAAACAATAATTCTTTTCATATCGACGCCTGGCGTTGTACAACAAACTTTCTGTCGCACACCAACTATTTGGAAAAACAGTAGTAGAGATATTTCCGAACCGATACGACTTAGTTTTTCAGGAAAAGTGCATACTATTCCCTCAAAGATTGGCAACGCACTCGCAAGCCAGGAAAAGTGTTATATTATGTTAACATTTAACATTTTAGGGCGGTAGTTAACATTTTATTTCAATATAATCCTCAGAGTTGAAGTCATAAGATTTTAATTAACAAATAAAAAATAGGGGTTGATCGTAGAGGGGTGAAAATCATAAAAAAATAAAAACAAAAAAAATTGTCAAAAAAATAAAAATATTTTTTTTGGGGTGGACACTTCTTATCACTAAGAGGTTTGAAAGATAGATAGTAGCCGATTCTCAGACTTACTGAATATGCATAAAAAATTTCATAAGAATCGGTCGAGCCGTTTCGGAGGAGTATGTGAACGAACATTGTGAAACGAGAATTTTATATATATAGAGGTTCAAATATTTATTATTATAATGTAAGTTTGCTCAACATGTAATCATGTTATTCTAATTTAAACTTTTATTGCCATACATCTGTTGTATCTATCGGAATCTGGAGTAGCAATAAACGTAATTAATTTTAATAATACAAAGTTATGACCCATCAAGATCCCTTGCCCTACATGTTGTTTCATAATCGTAAATCGTGATCGAAATATTAATGCTATTGTAATAAATTATTCTGGAACACTATAAATCGTAACTATAATGAATTAATCTTGTGGTTTGCGTAAAAAACAGTTGCGCTACCCTTTAGGGCCTTACGATTTCTGTGTCCGTTTTGTGATCATTTGTTTTTTCTCATAGGCAATTAGGTTTAGACTGTGTACTACCTATTTGGTGAACCAGCTACCAGTAGAGGTATTTCCGAACCAATACGACTTTAGGGTTATCAGAAAACCCGTACCATTTCTTAAAGGTCGGCAACACAACCGCTAAGTGATATGGGTGTCCATCCCAAAAACTTTTTTTTATTTTTTAGACAATTTTTTTTGTTTTTATTTCTGTTATGATACAGCATACAGAAATACATACAACTGTTAATTGTCAGTGTCCCTCTACGATCAACCCCTATCTTTTATTATAGTAGATAGTTATTTTTATTGAACTAAAATTTTTTTCCTAGAAATAATATATAAAACGACCTTTGCTAGCTAGTATTGTTATATATATATTTGTATGGTATTAAAAAATATATATATATATACATACATATATATATATATATATATATAATATTTGTAATATTTTAACTTCGTAATATTAAATTAATCATGATATTATAAGCGAGCGTAATCCCGTGAGATTAGCCATGGATATTTTATACCTTTCAGCAAAAAGCATATTTATGGAGTTTAATATTCCTGGGAAAATTTAATTACTTAGTTCCCTTTATGACTGGATTTTTAATATTCATTCGAAAACTCAGCACCGCTATTAAGGATCGCTTAGGTTTATGATATCATAAATATATGGGTCATTCGTTAATGTGCAGTCCAATTTATTATAAAAATTGTGCGTGCGTACTAAGTAGTGTAAGTACATATATAGAAATACCAAATAATATAACAAATTCATTATTATCATAATTACTAACTTATGTCGACATTTTCTAAAATAGCCAACTGGGCCTTAGCAAAACAGGTCTATATAAATAACAGGTAATTTAGTTACTTAATACAATAATAATGATATTGATATACCTATATTAAAAACACCATCAAACAAGTATGAGTAATTGCACCACAATATTATACTAGCACATATATTAAAGAAATAAACTTCTTTAGGCGTTTTAAGTTTCACTTAAAAAAAATTAAAAAATATCTTTAAATAATTGTCTACAGCTGAAAGAAAATACTTCAAAGTTACACGTATATACACAGTAAACAAAACAAATAAATCAAGATAGGAACGATTTTCCTTGTGATTTATTTCAGAACGGTGAACGTAGTTTTCCATGCAAAACAGCAGTGTTGGCCTGGCGGCTTCGGTGTGTGAATCTCATGCCTGTGTCGTAGGTTTGATCCCGGTTGTGTACCAATAGCCTTTCTATAGCCCATTTTCACGCGTTCGTATTAGATGGGCTAAAAAAATATATATTTATTTCCCATTTTTACAGTAACTTAATACTAATAATAGAAACTTATTAATATAAACATTAAACTAAAAAAATAATTTTAACAAACAAGAAAATAAAAAACCTAAACCTTTTTGAAGTAGAGAAAAATTATGAGAGTAAATTTTTACGATGCGCGCGCACACCGCAGCATGGTAAACATTTTAAAATAAAAAAATGTCAATTTCTTTATTTATGTAGAAATATTTTTTTGTGATATTTAAATAAACTTTATTATTAAATTAATTTAATATATTTAACTAGATAATGCATTATAATAAAACTTTCAATTAAATACCTTTTTATATTGTTAGTGTCGTTTTTATGTAAACGTAGAATAAGGCGAAAGATAATTTTTTTAAATAGATTTTTATCTTGTTACGCCAAAAAGGTATATCTTCTAACGCGTGTACATAAGTACACACACATGTTTTTTTTAATTAATTATAAATAATGCTATTCTTGTGAATTCAGCCAGTGTGCATCTAAATATATCCGTTTCGCAATAATATTTTGGGTGCGCAAGACACGCGTAAATGGCGCTTCTCTGTGTAAATTTGTACGCGCTCGAGGCACTGCAAGCAATTGCAAAAGTTCGTAGTTTTTTTGGTAGCACATGATTTTATTATTCAATATTATTGCCTTCGAGAGCCATATAATGATTATAGCGGTTATAATTTTTTCGATACCATTTTCATAGTACGATGTGTGTTACGTATCGTTGAAGGATAATACCGTGAGCTACTTATCTTGCTTAAACCCGAAAATCGATGTTATGTCCTGATCACATAGTTGCCTAGAAAAAACAAATGATCACGAAAGAGTTTTTATTTATTATCAAATGCGCTTTAGAAAAATCGATATAATTATTTACGTTTTTAAATTGTCTTGTCATCTGTCAACATCCAATGACAAGAGAGTTCGCCATGTCTGTGACTCGTCAATAAAGATTGCAACAAGACCCAATAGTTTCATAAAAAAACAAAGCTAATAATGGTTAGAAAAAGTACGTGTAAATCTGTCTGGCTAATTATCAACGTAGTTAGTAGTTACGCCATCACTCACGACTGGAGACGTGGCTGTCCCTCGCCCGAGTTACGGAACAGATAAATTAACTACCACGTGTCCAGATAGACCTGAAGGTATGTTTGATTTACGAGGTTGTATTGTAATTATTTACTTACAAAAGCTTGCCAACGCTCGGCACACTGCTACATGGAACATGAGAAAAGAAAATACAAGATTTAATGTGACAAGCACTTAAAGGCGTTTGCTTACAAACACATTTTTATTTTATTTTTATTTCAGTGGGCATACGATTTTCTAGCAAACTGTACAATGAAAATGATATTTTTTTAAGAAAATTTGTTCTTTATACTCTAATCACCTAATAAAACATAAAAAATAATTTTTATATCGCCATTATTTAATTTAGATCCGACGGGGTTACGGTATAATAACTTAAACGGTAAATTTAAAAAAAAATTACATTAAGGTAAATTTATAAAAAAAATTAAGTTTAATTTAAATTTAATTTAAACTTTATTTTAAGAAATTAAAACCACTTTTGCTAGGATATTTTATACATAATCTGTAACTTAAATTTGTTAGCTACAGTACAAGTAACCAATGCTATAGAATGTGGTAAACGTTAATATCCTCTTATCGTGCGGTGCACGTATTAAAATGGCCCCGTGTGTCACAAACAGGTGTTTCAGAAGCAATAAGCCGACAATGTATCGCCATTAGCCGCAATTTTGTTTTAAAAGCCTAAATAACGCTACAACATTAGCTATAAGTTATAACAAAATCGTGAAAGCTTAACGATCGTCACAGAGACAATGAAACCTCTTTTCAAGTCTATACTTCAAATTGCAAATGATTAATCTGGCCACTTTTATTGTGAAAGAAAAATCTTTAAAACGTTCTTATTTTAAAATGTAGAAAAACTTCGTTGGCATTATCGAAAGAACAGCAGATATTTATATTTTTAAAATCATGTTATTTCAAATGAAAAATAATCCTTGTACAAAATAATGTATTTTAAATTTGGAACTTCATGTCGGTTTTTAAAATTACTTATATTTGTGAACTCATTGCTGGCAACGTTCATGGCCATAACAAAAATTAAAAATAAGTTTATAAGTTCTTAATTTAAAATGCGCGGGTAAACCAATTTTAGCGTGAAAATTTTGTTTCACGTTGGCATTCACGCTGAGCCTAATACTTCTCCAAAATATTCTATATATTTGATCTTATAGTTCTGCTAAATAATGCCAATGCAATTATTATGGCTATATGTATGATTGTTTTGAAGAATTTTATTTTACATATTGCAATCGTAGACGCCGTCAAAATTACGTTCACAGAGCATGAAACAGATCTAAATGTTACATTTGATTTAATATCGAGTCGGATTTAAAACCAGGTTTGCGGTTTGTTCTCGGTATAATATAATGTATGCATTGTCATGCCTAGTGCTGACACTGAGCGTTGTTTTTCTTTTCATTCCACGTTATTGGGAGTACGGTGTAACAGCTCCTTACAAGTATCTTGTAAAATGAAATAGTTGGTAACCAAAAATAAATGCACGACAGACACGACAAACGCAAAATTATTAATTTAAAAAAAATCAGTGGCGCTACAACCTTTTTAGGTCTGGGCCTCAAATTTCTGAATCTGTTTCATGATCATTTGTTAATAGGCAAGCAGGTGATCAGCCTCCGTTGCCTGACGTACGCCGTCGACTTTTTGGGTCTATGGTAAGCCGGTTTCCTCATGATGTCTTCCTTCACCGTTCGAGCGAATGTTAAATGCGCACACAGAAAGAAAGTCCATTGGTGCACAGCCGGGGTTCGAACCTATGACCTCAGGGATGAGAGTCGCTCGCTGAAGCCATTAGGCCAACACTGCTCAAATTATTAATTACAATGATTAAATAATTGTTTCAGTTCTACCATGTTACGGACATCACCGTTGGTTAGGTGAAAGTAGTGAGATGTCAGCCATGTCCGCGATGCATATGTGACCATGCGGGCAGTGTGACGCAGTTCGAATGCGTCGCGGGAGTGTGTATAGCGTGAGCGAAGGCGTGGAGCGGTGCACTTGTGCCAGGTAAGTTATAAAATACATATAAACCTTATCCAGAAGAAAGCCGGCGTGGTAGTTATGTTAATAATTACACTAACGAAACTCATACAGACAGTTACAGGTAACACACAACATATAAAACCCCACATGTATGTGTACATTTAAAGGAAATCATTTCAATTATAAAAGAGAAAAGATACAATAAAAATGTCAAATTAAATTAAAAATTACAAATATTAAATCAAATATGAAATTTCAAAATGCAATTATTTCTTCATTGGTAACGGAACAATGGCTGCAGCATCTTACCCCTGAAGACATGGATTTAATCCCTAAAAGTGAGTTAATAATCATGTATCAAGTCTGTTGAACTAGAATGACGTCACAAAAGAAGATAAAAGCAGCGACCTCAAATCCCGCGACATCTCACCGCACACTGTATGTCGTAATGTATACAGTTGCTTGATATGCCTGATTTAAGTTTCTCAGACCTCATCAAACACATTCACACACTCTGATCCTGTAGATTTAACAGTTCCTTTGTGTTGTTGGCTATAACATAAAAAATAAAGCAAAATCCTCGTGTCTATTTTCTATGGTATGGGTTACTATAGTACATCGGTGTTAGGTTTACCTTAACTAGAATTATACAGGTGAATGATGTGGATATTTGAATCTCTCAGGTTTCTCTATTTTCAACATTAGACTGCTACTACCGGGGCTAACATAGGCTACATACAATATATTATTTGGAATGGTGAGACTAATTAGTAACGTTATGCGTCAGTATGTTTTATTATTTGTAGATAGGCTACTAACATATTTACTGAGGAAAGCAGAAAGCTATCTTTATTCAAAGCCCGCTATTCATACGCACCTTTAGTTTTATTAAATCTTTTATCTGCGAAGAGATGCTGAAACCTGTTGCGAAATTACATTTAATTAGCTGAATTTTATAGGTGATAATTTTGTTGATAGATGGGGGACACTCATTTCTTATCTCTAATGTAGAGTTGTAATGCCTAATGAATTACGGACTTATTAAATTTTATTTTATTTATTCACAAATATACATACACAGTACTAAGCCAATACGATAATATCGAAAAAAAATACGTAAGGTACACAATATCGCTACTGTGAACTTAGTTTGCGAACATATAAAGATATCTCATCATTTGATTCTGGCCCTTGGTATTGCAAACAACCTTGGCAACGACAAACATTTACGAGTTTAGGGCTTAAATACCCTTAATTAACATCTCTGTGTACTTATTTAATAAATCTTGTTACGAAGATGGGTTGACTAAAATGTTTTTCGATAATAATAGTAGTAATATCGTGCCTTGTTTGAATTGTATTTTTTTTTAATTTCAAGTAGTTAATGTTGTTTTTAGTGTTATGATTGTATTGTAATATATGTCAAAGCTTTGGTGGACGGAGAAATAATTACTTTTGTTACAATTTGTGTTCCACCGTCAAATAATTGTCTGTAGTTTTTTGTTAATAAATAAATGTCGCACCAATTTTTTCACCTGGAAAATCAAGAAAAGATAATCTGCTTCTATTGTTTTCCTATATTCAACAATAACTGAGATATTAACCGATAAGCAAACTTCGACTAACTGACCGCGCTAACTTCTGCCTCAAGTAAGCAAATTTAAAAAGGGGTCAATATTTATTATTCTGTAAGGTAGGAAAATTGGGAAATGCGTTGATATTAACGTTATCTTATAGTATAAGTTTTTGTTTAATAAAATAGTTCAAATATGTGTAAATTCAAGTGTAGTGTGAAAACTCACTGAAATTAATATTCTTTGTTCGAACTCTAAAACACCAAAGAATTCTAAAACCTTGAAAGTTATTCTCTCATAACAAATTCTTGCTCTTTTTAGAGGCCTTTGTCTCTTGATAACTAATATTAAAAAGTATATTGTTTTCAGTATGCGCTATTAGTATTTAGGTTAAAAAATGTGGGTTAATATTTCATTCGCTTTTGTACTTGAATTTCTATTGAAAGAAAAAATCCTCCATTACCATAATTCATACTAACAACAAGAGGTGGTTTAACATTTTAATTCAGGAATAACTTTTATTACCTCATATTTCGTTTGATTAAACTTAGCTTCGTTACCTCAAAATAGTAACGTCATTGCTGGATTTGCAACGTACTGCATTATTAGTCTGACTTAATATTGAACAGAATTCAATTGTCATTATATTTAATACGCTTTTGACAATTGTCAGGGAAATGATGATTATGAACTGAAAAAAATTCTTGTTAAAAAACAAAATTTTAAATACCACTTAAACGAACGTACCATACAAATTTCGAAAAATGAATTTAAAAATATTGGTAAATTAACAACGTTTTAATTTTATCGTGGTTATTATTTTAAAATCATTTATTTTGGTTCTCCGGGCAAAAAATTCTTAAAAAAGACATTCTTAGTCCAGCAAAAATCTCACTTTTAAACAAGATAAATATATCTGTAATGAACTCATTGTAAAGGCGTTTATCCACTTGAATCACATATACGATAGCTTATGAACATGGCAAGTTTACAGTGTTAAATCAAGCAAGGCTACTGTACCGATACCGATTTTAAATTACTTTTGAATCAGCGATATAAATTTTCCGAAATTGGTACTCTCTAACAAAATGCCGATTATAATAATGATGACGTTATGTAACGATAAACCCATTATCATTACTCATTTATTATCACAAGCTAACAATTACCAATTTGGCGTTACGTGATCTGATATAGAAACAGAATTAGCACGGTATGTAACTTAAATAGCGATTAAGATGTGGAATGACTAATCAGTATTCCAGCTCATGTTAGATCTACTTGATAAATAAAGAATTGTTTATAGGTAGCGCGGGCGCGGGTGCGGGTGCCGGCATGTGCGGGGAATGGAGGGCGGATGGTCTCCCTCTTCTGCGTCGCCGCCGCCGCCGCCCCGCGCCGCGCCCCGCTGCATCTGCCGCTGCGCCGCCCGGCCGCGCGTCCACCCCTCCGCTACAACTGTCTACCACACTATGGTAAGTGTTATAAATATTCTTCTAAGAAGAAAAAGTTACAATATGTATGTTTATTAGATACAGTCATATCAACTTTTTTTTTATAGAACAGGGGGCAAACGGGCAGTAGGGGAGCATGCAAATTGTAACAGGGTAAAAGTAACAGACCTTTTTCAAAGAGATTTGATTTTTATTCACGTTTTTTTACCTAATCTTAAACTTATAACATGCCACGCCACTTTGGCCCGGGCGGCGTGGGGGTGGGGAAACACCCCCTTACACACAGCCAGGGTCCCACCAGACGGCGTAGTGGGGGGGTGTGTGGCAACCCCCCCTTTATCGATGACAGGTAACCTATAATTTTAAATCATTTACGTAAATTTTCGGTTAGTTTTACTATTTTCGTAGCTTTGAAGTTTTATGTATTTTATTTTATGCTAAAATATAACTATTTATGATGATGTCCAGTTTTCGAGATTACTAAGTTGATTTAATAGTTATCGTGATAAATATTAAGACCTATACCTAGGGGCTAGTTGTAACAAAACCTCGGGGTTTGTTGTAACATGTTACAATTTGCCCCAGATTGCTGTAAGTTACTGACGACCGATGTTTATTTTTCCCGGGCTAAATACTCAGAAATTTTCATTCGCGGTGGACCTCAATTGCATTGGAGCTGGCAATTCTTCAGGGTGGATGACTGAAAAAGAATTCTTGATTTTTATAGATCATTTTATCAAATACGCGAAACCTACCAAGAAATAGCCAGTTCTGTTACTGCTCGCGCATAATCATGGCTCACGTATGAATATTGCAGTTGTCGAAAAAAGCCAAAGAAAACAATGTTATCATGTTATCGTTTCCCCCCCATTGCTCCCACAATTTGCAACCTATGGTTGTAGGGAGTCTACGGCCCTTTTAAAACCACGTGAACAGAGCCACAGACTGCATGGATGTATAATAATCCAGGAAAAACGAAAGAGTTAGTATGACATCCAAGTGTAGTGAAGGAGTCATTATCACTTCCCCTTGAACCCTGCAAAAAATATTAGCAGTGGTTTTGAAGCTTCTGGTATTTGGTCTTTGAATTTTTAATATTTTCCACTAGTGACTTTGCGCCCTCTTATTTGTTACTGATCGTCCAGATCCTACAGAACAATCAGAAAATGTTCTAAATGAAAGTGAAAAGTCGTTGAATCTTGAAATCCACAACTATTAGTAGACTGCTCTAAGTGGATTCAGCACAATCAGAAATATACGCCACAGAAACTGCGAACAAACCAACTCCAAGTTGCTCTGGTCAAAATCAATTTTCCCAATGAAAGATTAGACCATTACCCAAAGGCGCCACCACGAAAAACAAATATAATTTGCAGACGCAAAAGGAAGTATCCTATTCTCCACGACAGATACGCCTGAAAAGAAGCTTGAGAGTGAAATGAAGAAAGGCAAAAAAGATGATCACAGATAAGCGAGGGAAAGGAAACGTTAAAAAACCGCCGAAAAATAAAGATTGAAGGTGTCACCTTTTTGTTTTTGTTGTTGTTACAACTAGCCCCAACCACGGCAAGCTGCAACACCTCCTTTTCAAAACCATATGGTATAGTTACCTGTAGATTTGATATATTCAATTCGACTTCATAGATTAATAGTAAAAGTATCGATCAAAGTATATTGTAGTAATTTAGCCAATACATTCTATATTCAACTATTTGTTAAAATTGTGACAATAGCCTCGCCCCCTAGGCTCATCTGATGTTAAGTGATACCGCCGTCCATGGATCCGTCTCAATGCCAGAGGGCTCGCGAGTGCGTTGCCGGCCTTTTAATAATTGGCACGCACTTTTCTTGATGGACCCTAAGTCGAATTGGTTCGGATATACGAGTACTTCAGTTAGCAGCTGGTTCAACATAGTGGTGGTGCGCGGCAAAAACTGCCTTGAAAAACGCTCAGTTGTGGAACGGCGAACGTCGAGGTGATACGGGTGTAATCGTCATATTGCGACTTAAAGTGTCTGTTCAGATTTCATTTGAAAATTGACCAACTGTTGACAGAGCTCACTTGATTGTTCTATATTTAAACAGCTGAAGTTGCTCACAAGAATACTATGATGTATGTGTGAATAGGTGTAAGTAGTATTTAAGATATTGTTTTATAACATTAAATCAGATTTGAATATTGCTCGGTGTTATTTATTTCTCTCAAAGTGGCGAAGACTTTTTCAAGTCCTTAATTATCGTGGTAAGCCTGCCCGATAGCATTGAGATAATCCCACCACCTTAAATTTTTGATCCTACCCGTAGGTCTCCGTCAGTTACCTTAAGTCTCTTGGTACAGACTTTCAGTACATATTTAAATATTTACTATTTATATGTACATCTCACCCTCTCATATATTAAGGTATCTAGTGCAGCTTGCTCATACATATCTACATATACTCCTGACATTTAATACATATACATTTAACCACACATTTCACTTTCCACTGGCAAGCTGTACGGTGTCTCTTGCGACATAGCAGTAAATGGAAATGCTCTCCGGCTTATTAACTAGGCAACGTTTTGTTTTGTTAACTTTCCCGATCTCCGATATATTCAAGAATTATGTGCGTTTTCTAACTAAATACAAATTACTCACAAAAAGTTATTAAAAAACTGACTGCAGCGCAAATAAGAAGTCAATAACTTAACAGTACATTATAAATAAGCTAGTACCTACAAATAACTTAGAATAAAGCATATAATTTCAAGAAATAATTTCGCTTGCCGCCATTTGTAAATTAGACGTCACTTTCACGCCGCGTAATTAATATACCCGTAAGTCGTAGGCTTCTCGTAGACACGTAGCAATATTTTGTTGCTTTGCTACGTTACTTAAGAAGTCTATAAATCTAGACTAATAATAATTTATAACCTTTTTTATTTCCATATCCTTAAGTTCAATTTCCAAATGTTAGTAGTGTTGATAGAATTTACTTATAGCTAAATGTTAAAAGTAATAGACCACAAGCCCATGAACAAAAAATACGAAACCGAAAACATGGGCGTCGTACATTGAATCTTCAAGAAGAGGTGTTTCGCTTGAAATTTATGCGCAATATTTAGATACCTTAAATATATTATATTTTAGTCGCTTGTGGATATGGACGCCTCTTGGGTAAAGGCCTCTGTCTATGTATCATGTTACATGACGTAGACTAAAATAAATTCAAATTATATTGACGCAGCTCACAAAGTATAGAATCAAAAATGTCAGCGAAAGATAAAAAAAATTCTGTGGCAGAATGAAAATTTAAAAAATAAAATGAAAATCTACCATTATTATTTAACGATATCAAAATCTATTTTCATTACTTTGCTTACAGAATAATATTTAAAAAGTAATTTTTGAAGTTATACTTCTTTTGGCGCGACGCGATGGAGAAAAATTATGAGAGTGAATTTTTACGATGCGGCGCGCACACCGACACCTAAATTCTACATCGTAAAGTTAATTCTAGGTGGCATGAAAATCGATAATAACTATGTTCAAGTTGTATATTCTAGTTTTTTTTTATATTTAAAACACGTGTTTCGTAACAGTACAATTAAACAGTGTGAATAAATAAATATTATTTTGGTGTTTTTAATAAATCAATTTCATATACGACGGCGATAGTATTTAGTAATAATAATAAATTATTTATTAGTATATCTATATATATTGAATATTAGTGATAAAATTGATTTGAATAAACTGTTTTGAGTGCATTTATAGATTGGAGGTTATTTGTCGATATTATGTATAATTTTTAATTATTGCTTCTGTTAAAACCAACTATGTTGTTCCAAAGAAGTATAACTTCTAACGCGTGTACATAAGTACACACTCTCTTTTTTTTAATATGCTTAACCGTATTATTATTTTTCAAATTAAATAAAATTATACCATAGAGAATATATTTTTTCACAATGATTCACTTTTGGGCCACACTCTGGGGTCATAAAAACGGGGTACGCCCTTGTCTTTGGTTATCTAAAAATAAAAGCTACACCCTTCGAAAACCACAACACTGCCTACATCAATTAATTTCTTTACAGACTGAAAATAAAACCAGAATATGAAAATTAAACTTATTAAAACTTTAACCCGCAAACATTGCAGTATCGCACGCGATTATGAGTTTTAGCTTAACTTTGTGGAGTTCGATTAGTGTATATATAACTTTGTTCCGTTGTCAAGGGAGTGTTTGGATATGAAGTCAGTGAATGGAAAATTAATAGGAAGATTAACGAGCGCATTTATTTTCATTTGACATGTATCGTATATTTGACGTTGAATAATTTAATAGTTACATTGTTTTTTATTTTGTCTGTATATACGAGAGTGTAAGTGCGTGCTCCTATTTCACCATGCCTCCTGCTGATAGAGGACAAGTCTTTGTTTTTAATTAATGTTATTATTATTAATTACTTAAGATGTCATGTGTCCTTACAAACGTTGTGTAAAAAAAACATGGCGATTAAAAAGAGTGGCGGAGAGTTGCCAGTTTTTCTCTTCCGTTCTACGCCCTTGATTTGAAACTGGCACTAAATGTAAAGTTATAAGGATGTCATATACATTTCTTTTTTTGACGTTCATAACTATACATTGTGTTACCTATATGATTAAATGATTTTTGACTTGACTATAAATAAAAATGTATCGCAAAATATGTTGCTAAAAGCAAAACTCGAAGACAGCTCGACGAATTCCAGTAATTTTTTTTTAACTCTGAGGAAGATTTTTTTTTCCGGAAAATCGATCAGTTACTATGGCATAATATAATAACCCATATGTCGGTATGAAGCTATCAAAAAAGGTAGGCTAAGTAAAAAACATATTAAGGCGAAACGAAGTTCGCGGGGGCAGCTCAAATAAAATCCGGCACAAACAGCTTAACTAAATAATATAGATGTTCCTATAACATATAATACTTTGAAATATTATTGATAAAAAATCAGTGCAGTTTCAAAAACCTATTTTACTACTACGACTTTATTTTTATCGGAATACATTTTAGAAGTATGAGTTACGATCAAGCGACGAGAATTAAAATAATTTAAACAATATTAACTGAAATTCAATCTTGAGCTAACAAACGAAACAAACACGTAGCTTCCAACTCAATATATTTTATTAAATAAAGCTCGAGAACAAATTTTTAAAGTAAATATCCGCGAAACTATATTTGAGTTGGGTGTAATATCGAAAACCATGTTAGTTGGGTATCGACAATTTATTGTTGTAAGAGAAATGACTTATTTACTTATGTACCTACCTGTATGTATCAACATTTTCTTTTTTTTTATATGATTGGACAATTCACACCAATTGAAGTAGTCCCATGCTAAGCTGGTGAAGCTTGTGTTATGGGTACTAGGCAACGTATATACATACATATTATACATAGATAGATCTAACACATATAAATACATATAAATTTAAACACCCTAGACCGAAGCACAACACCAAATGCTCATCATATCGATGCTTGTCTCAGCCGGGGATCGAACCCGGGACTAATGGATTCGCAGTCAGCGGTACTAACCACTAGACCAATGACCAATAAATTTTGTAAGTATATGTACCGATAAATTTACATATAAAGAACATGCGCACAAATTTTAAGCGAAATACCTCTTCGTGAAGATTCAATGTACGACGTCCATGTTTTCGATTTAAGCTCCCGTAGCTTAATTCGAAAACATGGGCGATGATGTTAGAATTCTTACCGACATAGACGAAGTTACGAATAGGTGATGATCGTATTGTAACTGAAAATATTCTATCTATACGTATAAGTGAGCGTTGTATGGAACTCTTTATACTTGAATCGGATATTAGAGATAAAATAAGAAAGCTAAAACCAACAAATCAGCTGATAAGAGATCGAGGGATCAAAGTTATGCGAGAAAATAGATTGTAACTGTCGGGCTTACCATATCGGGGGAGGGGGGTCTGAGTTTCATCACTGTTGGCGGTATAAAGATATGAAAACGTCACACTTTATGCGACATCAGAATCCGTATTGGCAGAATTATTCCATGTTTGAAAGCAGACGGGTTGGACTCCCATCAATAAGTCCAATACAAAGGTGATGCTGGTTGACAGAATTATCTACTCGAATTTGTCAAGGAATATGTCTATCTTGGATCACTACTGTCTGATCAGGGGAATAAGAAGTGGAATGGGCAATGGAAAGTGAATGAGAAGAACACAAATAAATTGCTATGAACAGTTTAATGCGCAACTGGCAAGATAAGAAAGTCTCTAATATGACTAAGGTGATAATTGTTGTGAACGGTTTTTTTCTATATTCCTCTACGGATCGGAGTCATGGACGATTCGAGCGCAGGGCAGGAAAAGGATTGATGCACTGGAAACGTGATGTCGAAGATGCTTCCACGTGGCTCGCTAAAAAACTAACCAATCAATCTTGGATCAACTCAAAGTTCATATGAGACTCTCAACAACATGCTATAGAAGAGACCTTACTTTGGCTATATCACCGGTAGCAAACCAGATAATCTGGTGAAGCTGGTGCTAGTGGTCAAGGTGGAAGGCAAGCTGCTGGTGTGATCACGTCAAGATTCTCACAGGTTTCCCCATAACAGCTGCGCTAAGGGAAGCTATAGACCGGACGAGTGGAGTGATATCACTAGCTGGTACCATACAATGGCGCGCGCGACCTTCTGTAATTAACTGACTGATAATAATGAAGGATACATTTTTATACAAATTATATTTTGGTATACCATCGGGACTCGAACGCCACCATAACCACTAAACTAATATTGCTCAAATTGTGACATCTTGTAATTTAAGTCATTTGACGTTTTGAAGATATGTTTATATTGCAGTAGGTATTAGTTTAAGATAGAATTAGATTGCTGCAAGCAAAAGGATTTTTATCTTTTGGCATGATTTTTGCTTGTGAAACTTATTTTCTTTAAAAGTGTATTTAAAAGTATTATCTGCACCGCAATGCACCAAACGTTTCATGCTGTATATAATTAATAAAGTAGTAAAACATTAAACAAAAGAAGTTTTTATTGCTGTACTTAGTACAGGGTTTTTTTTTATTAAATTGTACCTACGCAATGTCCTATAGCCCCTAGATGGGGCAGAGGGCGTCCACAGTGAGTCTCAATCGCGTTCGGTCTTGAGCCTCCTATTTCACTTCGCTCCAAGTCTTTCCCGCTCTCTTCGCCTCATCTGCAACTGTACGACGAGGTTCGCTTGGCACGGCCAAGCTTCCGCTTTCCTTGCGGGTTCCAATCAAGCGCCTTGTGGATATGATTGGAATCTCTTCGGAGTGTTTGGCCTATCCATTTCCACTTGCCTCGTTAAATTATACCTTACCGCTAATCAGCTTGTCTCTCGACAAAGGCTTCCTCAAATGGAGTAGTAACTATATTTTAAAATTGACAAAATGTGGTTTAAATTATAGGTCTCTAAGATCCATATTATATTTCGCATCTCAAGTCGTAATCTCGTCTTGAGTGCTATCCAATATGTCAAAAATCATGACATATGGTTTGATTGTTCTTAAAACTGGATTTAAGTTTGATTGACGTTCTAGAACACAAGTCGAAATACAGAAGCTGTTAACCATTTAATCTAAATAAGAATTTACATATTTACTTAGCATAAACGTTGTACTTTCGATAATTAGTGTTTGTACCAAGCATCCTATACAAATACCAATACGAGTTCAGAAGAGGTCGGAATTGGCCGGTAACGTACTTGTAAGCCAGAAGAGGAAAAGGAAAACTTTACCGTATGAGCAAGTTTTAATAGAATAAACACAATATAAAATCAATATAAAAAAATAGAATTGTGAATATCGTGCATATTTTTAGTTGGGAATTGGACCCAGGCGAGCCCTTCACAACTTTGTTTTTTTCTGATATCTAATTGGATTGTACATATTGTTCGTGAAACCTTACATTGTTGAAAAACATGCCATGCAAAGTCGTAATTCTATTAATAAAACTAAATTGTTTTCAGCTTTCTGCTAAGAAATTTTGAAGTACCCCGCAGATATAAATGTGGTATCTAGAGATTGATTTTTGAGCAATTTTCTGCCATAATCTCCAATATGGGTTCAATTAAGCGGCGGTTAAATAGGCATCTCCTGAACAGGCGTGACTTAGACATCTCACTTAACATCAGATGGGATTGTGCTTCCTTCAGGCTGCATATATCTAACCCCACAATATCTTCAATAACAGTGGATAGTTCTTTTATAACTCTTAATATCATCAGATGGGTGGCCAGACCTTGAAGACGAGTCGACAGGTGGAGCCCTCCGAGAACGCGAGCTCCGTTCACTTCATCGCACTGTGCCAGCGCTACGGAGAAGGGAACTCGACACGCGTGCCATCAAACACCACTTCTACCCGGAAGGAGGATGGGGGTAAGATTTAAGACGGCTTACAAGTCATACACTGTTTACTAATTACCATTAGATTTAACTAGAATGAGCATTTATTTATTACAAGAGGTCAAACCTCTGTGTTCCAAAATGTTGATCCACTAGCTTAAGGCTTATCCCAGCACGATTTGCTGTGTCAGTGTCTGCGGTGCGCAGTGGAGAGCTGGAGCACTGAGGCGCGCCGGCCCGTAATAACAATTAGTTTCATCAATTTTATTTGCTGAAATGGATTACTTGGCTTGCAATAAAATATATCGTATAAATTTTCAAAATCATGTTCTATATATATTTTCGTCATAAAATGATTTCAAAGTGTCAAAAATTGGATTTTATATGATATTTGGATTTTTCTATCTAGCGAAGTTATTTAAATCGTGTATCGATCTTTCAAAATGGATACATAAGCTACTCAACTCCACCATATATTTTTTCCATTCGCCCCACTTCAAGAAACGATGACGAAAAACGGAAAGAAACAATGTACTTTTTTGGAGTTTGACGATTGTTTGGTCCTTAAGACGCGTCAGCTTCGAGGGTAAGAATATATCACGCAAATAATTCGTTTGTGGGTCAAACGGAAATTATTGAGTTTCGACCAAATACACACAGTTTCGTCATTTGTTTTATTCCCAACATTCTTTCAGCCTCACTGGTGGTAAAAGCCTTTTTTGTGATTTATTATAATATTCAGTGTTAGTTAAAACAATTTTGCTCTACTAATAAGCTAGTATGGCTCTTGGTCGCTTATTCAGAATTGTTCTTACCTAGGTGGGGCGACTGTCAATAGCAGCCTCTTATCACAACGTAGAAGGACTCGATACCTAAATTAAACTAAGTTAAGCTGTCTATTTGTTTCAGTTAATTAGAAATAGATGCTATTATTTTTGCCAAATAAATAAAAAATATATACGGACCGAAAAAGATTTTCAGTTTTGTTCTATTTCCAAATGATTTCAACGTAATAAGGTAATAATTTAACAGTGTAGAGATTACGGTAATAAAAAAATTATAACCAAAATTAATAATTCATATAAACATTACCAATAAAGTGCTTGGAGATACAGTATTTCTTCCACCACAACACAACACACGACTACAAGAAATAATAATAATAATACAAAAATGGGGACGTGATGGGACGGGACTTTTCCTTGAGGTCTCATGAGGGGCACTCACAATCAACCGTCTTTGCGGGCTTCAATGAAGTAATTAAAAACCAGTTCTAAATTATAATCTCGCTTTGTCTCGCTTTCAGCTGCGTAACGTTGGATGTAGCCCATAGCGTTAAAGGGACTGTCCAACACTTATCGAATTATACAATTCTCAGCAAGCTGTAAGTTAGCGCATTCAAAATAATTTCCTAATTATGTTTGTACAGATATTAATAAACACGTATAACCTAGACGTCCGTTGTTCAACAACTGAGCGTTTTTAATGCAGTTTTTGCCGCGCACCACCCGTATGAGGGTCAAGTTCAAGTTAGGCTCCATCAAGAAAACATACCAATTCTTAAAAGGTCGACAACGTGAGAGTCACTCAGATGAGCCTACTGCCCCTGTATATAAAAAAGTGCGTGTGTACAAAGTACACATGTCAGAAGTGAAACTTCTTTGGTTAACTAAGTTCATATTTATATAAATGTATAACTTTAGATTTCCGAGACTTAGAGGGAGGGAAAAAGGAAGATATGTTAGGAATTTAACTTGAACTAAAATTTCTTCGACAAAAACGCTGCAAATCCTCGTGACGCTAATATTATTATTGCGTTTCATCCGTAAAAAATTTATCCTCATGCGCCTGAAGAAGTTTCACTTCAAAAACGTTTTTTCTAGTGAAGTAATCACTTGAGAATCAGATGAGCAATACAGTATGTCACACAATTCCTATAAGAATGAAATACTTAAGAGTTCTGTATACAGTGCAAGAAAGTCGAAATTATGAGAATCACTTGAATAAAGAACAATACTTCAAATATTTCGCATATGTATGAATCCAAAACCGAGTTTTAATACACAATTCGAGAAAAGGGCTGGAAAGCCCTTTTTAACCTACTCCGTGGCTATATATTATTATACAAATGTTTCTTAATATTTTAAGTTTAAGTACCTGACAAAATTTATAAGTAGGTTGTTAAGCTATTGCAAAGATTTATCGCGGGCTTTGAGCGCGGCGACCGAATTAAGAAATTCTGTAACGAAAATAAAAATCTAACACACGATGACGTAATAGGGGTACGGCCAATACGCGTTAGGGCGGGAAAGAACCCATACTGCGTCGCTCATCGGTCTGGCGTCATCGGTGACGTAGCGCAGGTGCGTTAGAGTGGGACCGAATGCATACTGCGTATTCACATCTCTCTGACGAGATCGGTGACGTAGTGTAAGCGCGGCCGGTGCAGCTGGTACGCGTTTGAGTTAGACTATATAGGCGTGTTAGTCTGACTCTGGTAGAGTGGTAGATTGAATTAATATCAAAATATTATAAATAAAAAAATAATAAATAATTATAATTGCATAAATAAAATAAAAAATGCTATGCAATAGCTTTACCGCGGCAGTCCCCGAGTGCCCCACGTTTTTTTTATTAACTTTGTTGATAATTTGATTAAGAAGATAAGGCTTCTAACGCAATATTTGGTGGAATTTGCAAAGATTAAAGTTCAAATTAATTGAGCTCACAAATTGCTATTCAGCAACTTCCAAGTAACCCGTTAATTGCTAACACTTATAACGGGATTAAACGTTCTTAATTATAAAATCTATTCTGCTTAGTTATCTGCGACCAATTAAGCGGGAAATTTTGTGTTATTTGACAGCATGAAAAAGTGTTAATGAGAGTTATCTGTATAAACTTGGCTTTGGAAATAACTTGTAAATAATCATTAAAGTATCAAAAAATCCATACTTAAAAATATTGGTTTTCGTACGTCAGTCAAATAATACAAAACGATAACAGATTACTGTAGTCGAATGTTAGTTATAAATAATTCTGTCTTGGAGTTGAATTTCGTTAGACTGATTTTGATCGTAATGCGTAAATATGTGTTTTTTAAGAATGATAATAAAAACATAAAAATCTCAAAGTTTGTAGTTTATAGGGACTGGTGCGACGTCATCGTCCATAGAGAAGCGTTTTGGCGGATGCCTGAAATTTAAAAAAAAAAAACACTTTTCACAAGTCACATGAATAATCTGAAATGGTTTTTGAATCTTGTCAACTAGCCCATTATAATAAACATAAGTATTTTCCGTTTCTGGATACTGATGTTGTTGTGTGAGTTAACAGTGAAAAATAATAATAAAACATGTAGCTTTAAGTATCTCGGAACCAATCCAACCAGACCATCCAAATTTTACGGTTGTATTGTCTTAGAATATTGTCATGTATTTGCGTACGTCAATAGGGTAATGTCAGATTTGACAGCTCAAAACGCACAGACTAAACATTTGGTTTAGTTCAATGTCTGTTGACAGAGCACAACGTCATTATTTATAAACAAGTGCGGTAATAAAGCTAAGAATACTATGGTATTGAATAATTGCGTTCATTGGGTTGTGAATTTGTTGATGAGGTCAAGCCTTTCAAATGAATTACGTGTCAAGAAAGATATATTTCTGCGTCTGATTAACTTATTAAATAATTTTAAGATAAGTTGAACTTGTAAGATCCTATACAATCTTTTAAAGCCGGAAACCATAATAAAAAAAAATCATATAAAATTGTACGCACATATTTTCGTTCATAACATTTTTTTTTTCTTTATAATCCATTTAAATTCCCTTTAACAAGAAAATTTTAACGCGAATCATTTGTAAATAATGCGTTATATGGGTCATACAAGCGCGTAATGCGAGAATATTCCTACAACGCGTTTTCTATATTATTTCTACCCTGTTATAGAAGGGATCACAGTACAGAATTATAACGTGTGCAATCCCCGCGTTATATGGGGGAATACCCTTAATATACGAGGGACTGAAATCGCGTAATATGAAAATGCGTTATTAGAGTACCTGTACTTTTCTAAAACCATTGTAGTAATATAGGACATGGTCAAATAGCTGTTTAACTACAATAAAAGAAAAACTGTCAACAACTGATGTTTAACTAAAGGGATTAAACCACAAGTTAAACATACATTAACTTTTTACCAGAATTGTGAAGTGAAATCAAAATATTTAAACAACTGATTGAGAATACTTTCATAAATATCATTTATTTCTGATGACCGTGCTGATCAGCATTGTGGTTTGTGCCAGCGGAAATTAAATTGTCATTTCAACGTTTGTGTTACTCGGCGTCTCGATTGTAAAGATAAACGTTGTACGTTTTTTATTTCGTGCATGGTCGTTGACTGACTTCAAAAACCTCAAATGAGGTTTCAGTCTGACATAAGGTTTTGGATAATATCCTTTAGCACTAACAAAGTACGTAAAATCGAGTTAACGTATTAGTAAATTGTTCACGTGTTTTGTACGAAATGGAGTCACAAACATACACCTTTTTAATATACACGAATTATGTATAAATCACACTATGTTTTAGTGTGATTTCTAACATTCAATTAAATTGTGTTATTATCCAGTTTAATAAAGCAGCCAGGCAAAAATACATTAAAAAATACTCGAACTAATTTTGACGCTACTCCAAACAATCCCGTGTATAATATATTCAAAAAGTTTTGTTATGTCTTAGCAAGTTATTAAAGAAAACTAAGTTCTAAGTGAATTAGAGTTGAAGTTGTATTATAAAGTTAAATTTATAAACGCAAAGTTTCGAGGCACTGATAACTTTGTTAGTTCTTATTTAATGACATCATTATGAAAACCCGAATATTCTAAAGCACGTTTCTTGTCTGTGATCCATTTAAGATTATTTATCTGTTCCTAACAAGGCGAAATAATTATTGTTTCGTCGGTAATATAAAAGTTCCTTCCTTCGTAAAAGCTACGTAAAAAAAATTCAGTCCAAAATACGGTCCTAATTATTATAACTAATAAATTAACATTATGCATTGTATGAGTATGTTGAAGCGCGTGTCCTATTATTTAAATTTCCCACCAATTGCCAAATCAGGCGGCGACCAATCAGAACGCTTTCTTGTGACGCGACGCCTAGATCACGAAATATTAGTGCTTAATATAAATATATTTATTGGGTGATAGTCTCTAGTGTACGATCGTGGTTTCTATATGTATTGTGATTAACTTTAAATCATTTGTGAACATGGCGTGTATATTTTAATTTGGATTAATATTTCACAGCTAGGTATGACTAACTAGCCTACTTCACATAAACAGTAAACTTAATCAGTCTATCAGTAACTAGTAATCAGGTTTAACTAGCGTACACTCATCTGTTCTTGTCATAACAGCAATTAATACATTTGATAAACAGCCTCGTAATTAAACTTTAAAAAAGAACAATCAGTAATGACACTGATTAATTTTTATAAAAAAGGTATTTCTGTTAGGTTTCATATAAGTACTAACTAATGTATACTTCGTCTATTAACATCTACTGGTATATAAAAATAAAATAATTATATTAAATTCCCAAACAATTCATTTGGGAAATGGCTCAATCTCGGAGAGGATAAACTGAAGATTCTTTCAACAAATTATCCGCCATGGGATTACCGACCCTCGGATCACGTTCTGACCTTATCGAATTTATATTTAGAAATATATAGCCCGCAATAATTATTGCGTAGCTTAATCAAACAGCGATCAAATAGATGAGGTAGGGATTCTTATTATTTCCTTTGAAGGGATATTATGAAGCTCTCTTGTTATGTTAGAGAGGCCTTCGAGGATAATACACCTGCAAATATTTTTATTCTATCTTATTCTATATATAAATTAGTTACTTAGATTACTCACCTTAGCTGACATAGTGATGAAAGATGTCTTGCCCAGAAGTTCTTTGTTCAATTACCAGGGAAACAATTATTTTGGACTTCTACAGATGACACGACGAAACTCAATTTAGACGTAGTTTCAATATGCGTAGCGCTAATGATCAAACGTGGAATTACGTGGTAGGAAAACTCATTGAAATCAGAATTGGTATTCACAATGGCTATTGGAAGGTTCTAGTAACACTAACACAAGTTTGACAAAATCTTAGTTTTATGCCGTAGTTTTTATATAAATATTTTAGCTCTAGAAGGCTGATACAAACTTGTCTCATTATTTCTGAAAACAACGCAATTGAAATTCACGTAGACAACCAATAATTAGGAAAAAAAATAATGAAATTCTTCTACTCGTGAATACAAACTGCTGAAAATAAATTTCGTCATCCCACTTATTAAGGACATTTAGGCCTGACGCTTTCTTAATTTCCGGAGAGTAGTAAATTTCGAACTAGACAAAATTATTACTGGAATAGATATTTCCGTGGCAGTTTAATCACATCATTATTCAAAATTCTAATTAAAATCCCTTTATTTTGTAAAATAACGCCCCCTTTTTAGGTTTTCTTATCTATTTCGTATGTTAAGCTTATCTTTTAATTTGTTTTTGGTAATTTAGAAGGTATTGATATAGTACTGGACTGTCTTAATTAAAATAAAATGTTTTGTTTCATTTATTTGCAAAGTTGGACGAAAGTGATTAGGATCAATTAGTGTTGTTGCCTAAATTCTGTTTACAGATTAATAGTACCCTCAGACATTTCGGCAGATATATTTATTCCTATACCTGCTTGAAACAAATCGCTTGTTAGTGACCAAGCTGCCTATGTTTGAAATCATACTTCTTGTGATAAAACAATACTTTACCAATATAAAGACAAATTATGTATGAAGATTTTTGATGTGAAACATCTATAGCCGCTCGTAAAACCGATTTCTGGTGTGGCGACGCGTCGCCACGCTATATGATGGTATATATACAGTCTATATGCAGTGGTGTGTACGGTGTGTGTATTTCGCAGTCACTGATGAAACGAATTAAGTAGTCACGATTTGAAATAAATTCGTAAATTTTTGTATTTAATGAAAATAAATGTTTATTCAATAAATACCTAGTCATCGTTATCTGGAAAAAAAAATGTAATATTTTATTTTATCATTATGACATAATTAGTTCCTATCACAATCTGTTCTTTTCTGCATATTACTTTTACAAAATAATGTCAATGTTTCACTTCTGCCAGGCGTCCCGTGACGGCTAACATTTTTTTAAATTATCGTATGTGAACAGTTGTGGCCAAGGATTTGTATCTGAGATTTTTAATTTGTTTATTAATGCGATTTTTTTTAAACTACAAATTCTTGTAAACTCAAAAACCACATCTGCTCGAAGCACTATAATAAATGAACATCAATAAAAACTTCAATAAACAACCTATTTTCGCTCATCCATAAATCATAGAGACGATTTATAACGCTCATGACAAGTGTTTTATTGGGTTTAATATTTGGGAGATAATAAAACGCGTAAATTTCATACGCGTCCTAAAACTTTTAAAATCAAGTTACCAGGAAAGTGTTGAAAACATAAGCGATCAATGTTTTTAGGTTTAGTCAAGGCATAATTATACACATGACGTATTTTTGCTCCATTTTCCGTAATAAGAAGGGGGAATGACTTCCCGTAAGCTCCCTTTTTGAAAATCAAAGCGTGTCACACGAGTCATAATTAGTACGACTGTTGTTTCATAAAAACGTCGAATGAATATACAATATTTATAGTTGTTTTGCTAAAAATTGCGATTTTCTTTCTTTCCCTATTTCTTGGTGCTGGGGGGCTGGGGCTCTTGGGCCTTGCGATTCTGTAACTCACTTTTCGGTTTTCCAGCGGCGGTCGCTTCAAATCAGCCGTGAAGCAGTCATTTTATGATTTGGCATTCTGATAAACAATAAACACAAGCGGTTAGATGCAGACCAAATGACCGCTTCACGGCTGAAAACCGCTGTGTGAGTTCGAAAAGTGAGTTACAGAATCGCAAGGCTGCACAGTTTGTGCGTCAGCCATGGAAATCACTTCTTAATACTCAATATTTATTAGACATTTTTCAATTTTCTGTGTTTCTGAATTTTGCGTTAACACTTAAGTCTCTGTAATTATAAAATATTAATAAGGATTATGGTGATTTTTTTAAAGAAATATAGTGTCACTCGTCAGCCATTTTTCATTAACTCATCAAATGGCGATTTTATAATATAGCTCCATATAATCATAACGTAGACCATAACCAACCAACGGGAACCATATATTAGATATTAAAATTACGATTTATATTTAAGGTGGATCGTGTGTGGAGCAGCTTTCTTGGCCCACTTGCTGTCGACTGGTCTTCAGTTAGCGTACGGAGCGCTGCACGTCTACGCTTTACGTCACCTGGGACCAGCTGCTGACCACGCAGGTTGGTTATTTTTGAAGTTATACTTTAGGCGCGTTAGGGACAAATGATGAGAGTAAATTTTTACGGTCGCGCGCACGCAACCGTCACGCTGAATTTAGCAATAGTCAATATTTTAGTTTTTTTACATATTGATTTTTTGTACGATATTGAGACAATGGTTCTTTGTAGAAATTCCAATTCTAATTCTTGTAAAATTTGTAAATAGTGAAATCTCATATGTATACTGAACTCCAAGCCATGACGTGTCTTAAATAAAAATTATATAAATATGTATGATATGCATGCTAAAATAAAAAATAAAAAGTTAAAAATAAAATTTAAAATTAATTAAAGAAATTTTCAAATTTTCATTTTTAAAATTCAAATTTTAAATTAAATATTTTTTTTGTGATATATATTTGTTTAACTAGGTAATGCGCTAGAATAAAACTTTGAATGTATTAAATTCCATTTTTCTATTGTAAGTTAGTCTTTCTACAGACTTAGAATAAATTTTCGAAAACATTTTTCTGTTAGCAATAAAGTATACAAGCTACTAACGCTGACATAAGTACACATACTTTTTTTTAATTATTTGTTTATATTTATTTTCTGTCTAAATTTAAAAAGTCTTCAAACAATTAGTTAGTGGAAAATTATGAGAGAAATGGGATTTGAACACGGAACAAACCAATTTTAATGACTACGTGATTTTTTTTGCCCCGTTTTTAAATGTCAATCAAACTTAAATCTAGTTTCGGGAGCTGTCAACCCCGTTTTTCTTTATGCAGTTTGACATAGTTGACAGCGCTCAAGACGAGATTGTGGCACTTTCGTTGAATTTTTACTGTTATATGTTTATTGTTATTTTACTCAATATTCATAGCCTATTAATTTCACGAAAATATGATCGAAAATTAATCCGAAAAAACTTGTTTTAAAATATGCATAACTTTTAAATGCTTACAAAGTCACTTTTCGATGAATACTTCTCTAATGACTTCTCCTAACTGATAATCTAGTTTGTTTAACATCAAATGCCTTATAAGCTTATATATTAGTATATCTAATATAACATTTCTTATATTCAATAATATGATACACTTCCAAGTCGGGAAATATCAATACGATGGAAAAACCGTATTTCTGGTAATATTTTCTCGGATAAAAGCTGTCAACGTTGTATCGATACAATCAGATGTCAATACAAGCAATATTCCAAGCGCGGTCAGCGAATTTTCTTATCTTGTTACCATTTGTATCTTTTGCTAAAGATATTTTTATAAATGTATTGAAATGCAGAAATGAAAATTCTATTTTATCTTGCGATGTAGGTACTTGATATGCTTAGCTTTTTACTTAAGCAGTGTTACTAGTGGCTTCAGCGTCCGACTCTCATCCCTGAGGTCGTAGGTTCGAGTCGCGCACCAAAGAACTTTCTATGTGCGTGAAGAAACTGGCATGTCTCAAATCCACGACATGTGTCAGAAAAAAGGCTGATAATGATGAAATAAAAATTATCAAATAAACGGATGGAATCAAAGCAAGATCCATATAGGGTTATAACGTTATAACTGGATAGTAACTTGGTTTAGTGAGCCCCAACAGATCATGCATAGGTTGTTCGATCGATTAAAATTAAAAAAATCAGTGGCGCTAGTCTGGGCCTCAGATTTCTGAATCAGTCTCATGATCATTTTTAAATCTAATGGGCAAGTAGGTGAGCAGCCTCCAGTGCCTGAACACGCCGTCGACTCTTTGAATCGGCACGGTTTCCTCGCGATGTTTTCCTTCACCGTTCGAGCGAATGTTAAATGCGCGATAGTCCATTGGTGCACAGCTGGGGATCGAAACTACAACATCAGGGATGAGAGACGCACGCTGAAGCCTTTAGGCCAACACTGCTCCGCACTGTTCAGGATCCATTTTAAGTACGACGTTTTTTATCTGCTCAAACACTTCCTGCAACTACATTTAAATTTAACGGTGGCTTTGTTCGTACGGCGTATAAAAAAAATATAAAACAATCGCAATGTCAAACAAAGTGTGTTCAGAAATTTCACGCAATTTAATAAAAACTTAAGAATCACAAGGCTTTAAATTTCTCACCGCTTCTCAAAAAACTGGCCGCTACAATATCTAAATCTTGGCTGATTTATATATCCGTGATAATTCTTAATAGAAAAGTAGGTAGGATCAGCCATCTGTGCCTGACACACGCCACCTTTTGAGTAAGAGGCCGGTTTCCTTAAGATGTTTTCCTCCACACGTTTCGCCTCTAAACGTAGCAAAAACAACTACTTTATTTAGGTCGGAATAAAAACGCTGTTACGTTAAAACCAAGTTGCTCATGTCAATGTATGGGACATTCGCGTTATACGACATGTGCATGTGTGTGTATGCAATAATAAAACTAGAAATAGGGCTTTAGGTTAATATAGACTTCAATTTAAAAATACCAGTCCTGATTCGGTATTAAAAGTTCCATTTCACACCAATAATATATCATAAATAAAAACATAATATATTTCTTTAATTGTCTGCGTATCTTAATCAAACACAAAAGGGATTGTTGATTACCATGACTAAATATTTCATTTAGAAATCCATTTCGAACGCCCGAAGCTTCAAGACGTAATCTGCCAATAGGACCCAGAGGAAATAAACAAACGTTATCTCGATACTGAGGAATTTAACTACCTTAAGTAAATACTTTTTGTATTGGTTGAGATAATATTTTTATTGCTAATTAACGTTTTATATCTGTGTGGAACAATTCCTTTGTCTCATTTTGTAAAGTGGGAAATAAATATGTATTTTTAATTGAATATTTAAAATCTGCGTACATCCGCATAGAGTAGATTGTGTATGTACAAGGTTGCTGTACCAAAAATATATATATTTTATAGGATATTTTGTAAAGGATTTTAATTTTTCTTGTTGGTTAATGAAATTTATTTATTTATTTAACAGTTCATTCATAAAAGTTATTTTATAGATAATATTAACAATTATTAAATAAAAAATATAGCAGTCATAGATTACACCACATATACGAAGAATATTATTTACTAACAAACACAATTATCTAAAAATTTATTAATTAAGGTATGTGTGGGGGAATGTGTCAAGTGTGTGCGTTTTTATGTGATTTTAAAAATCCATACGATTTGCTTATCTCCATCGAAGACGCGGAGATAATATGGAAAACGTCGAAGCTCGCATTTTGGTTTTAAAATACGTGTAAGTATATTATTTCTAGAATGGTTAATGACCAAGTTAGGAGATAATAAATAGCTCCGTTATAGAACTCCCGATTATAGAATCGGTAAATGAAAACATAGTTTGTCTTTAGTGTACGCGAGTACATTATTTAGACAAAACCTCTCGTGCCTTTATTCGAGGCATTACTAGCAAAGACTGTACAGTTTTGTAAGCATGGCGATTAGCTAAATCGTCGTAGTTACGCCTCGACAGAATAGACGCAGGCACTCTCTTCAGCTTTATAAGCATTTTGTTTATTTAACATTAATTTTTTCCTTTTTTGTACCTTATATTAACAAATATACAATGAAAATAATATTCTCTATTGTGTAAAGCATCCCATTGAACCGTACAGTTTATTTTAAAAGCAATCAATTATTTGTAACTAAATTGCTTTCAAGACCGTTGTAACTGGATGAATAACGAAATTGGAATTTCAAGAAATTAGTACCGAGGCCCTGAGACAAACCAAATTACGATAAGCGACATCTTAAATTACATTTAAACAAAGTTTTCAGTAACCGTTATTTGTGGTTGGGGTGATTTATTAAATTAATTTTCCGAGATTCACGACCTGGTTTGAATATTAAGAGGTGGAAGTAATTCCGTTTATAGCGGTCTTTGTCAGCAAGGCGGATACGGAACCATTACTCATAGCTTGCCGTTGAATCAAAACTTCGACTAATGAGTTAAGCTGTGAGCGCCGTTGGGTCAAGCCGCCCATTGGGTTTCAAATTTAAGGTCAAAATAATATTATTAGGATTTTTATCGATGTAATTTGAGGTATTGGAATAGTTTGGCTGTGTAACACACGTTTTTACATATTTTTTGACGGGGCATTACTATGTATTACATATAAATTCATGAATATAATTTAAGATTCTTTCGACTATAATCGCGGACAGTGCTAGGCAAATATTATAGACGAGAGTTTACACAACCAAAAACAATGGTTACAAAAAAACTAAACGATTTCAAAGTTAATTTTATATGTATACACATACTGAATAAAAGTTATAACTATTCCAATAAAAAGAGGATAAAGTTTTAAGTTTATTCGTCAAACATTCAAAATGTAACACTCAAAACAACTGGGCCGATTTAAAAAATTCACCAAAAAACAACATTAACCCGAGTTAGACTATATTTATTTATGAAATATTGAAATAAATAGAAGTGCCGGCGGGACAACCTGCTGAATCTTAGTTTTTGTTGAAATCCTGTATGAGTAAATAATAATTGAACAAGACAACTGAACAGCTTTAGTAAAACCTTAATTGCTCTTTGGGTTTTTTTTTACATAATTGGGCAGAAGGCTCTGCTGATGTTAAGTGATATAGACACTCACATTGCCAGAAGGCTCCCAAGTGCGTTGCCGGCCTTGAAGGACAAACGAATCGCAAGACATCAACTAAATCTAGATTGTATACCTGTAAACCCTTTTCAATTTTGTTGTTTAATCATTCTTTGCCTACTCAAAGACTTCATAATTCAAAATACGTATGTACTCGTATATATACTGACAAACTCGAAAGTTTTCTTGAAAATAAGAGAATTTCCCTTAAGGAGGTTGTGCGAACCTTCGCATAATACTAAACATTCATCAAGAAGGGGTCCGAAGGTTTTTATTAAATTAAGAAAGGGAAAAATGTGCGCTTTCATTAAAATTTGGCTTATCCTGATATTCAAAACGTCGTAGCCATTTCACGGCACTCGACTTTGATGAGATTTTTTGCTGAAATTTCAAACACAACTTATTTGTTAATTATCTCAAAACCATTGTTAATAATTGCAATTTTATTTATTCTATGATCAACGATATTCTTTTGTTATTTATTGGACCTAATAGTACGATAAACCAAACTTAGAAATACAATTGCTAAGGTTCGTAAATGTTTGAAATCTTTAGTATAATTATTTTTTGTTATATATTATTTAAGTTAGATGTTGGGTAAGAAATAAATAATTAAAAAGGTAGATTCACTAAAAATACCGTGTGAAAATGAATATATCGAGATTGAAACAGCTCGCTAACACACAACTTGCTAATTAAATTGCGTAGACAATGAACGCATTAAGGCGCACAATGGGGATTTATTTTACATTCGGAATAAGGATTTACTTAAATAGACAGTGATTACCTCAACAAAACGAGATATTTGAAAGCTTAACGCTCCCTAGATAATTCTTCTAAGTGCCTTAACGTCATTAAAATGATGCGCGGCTCTATTACCGATCTTTGTAGATCGCAAATGAACAATTATTATGTATTAAATTAAAGTGTAGCTTTCAGACACACAAAGAAAGTAATGATCAAGTGTATAAGCCCTAAACTTATTGTTAAACGACGACTTATATATTTAATTATCTTACTTTCAAATACGACGGCAAGCAATACAAATAAAAAATAATGTTGTTTTATACTTTTTTGTTTGGTTAAAAAGTAGTAATTTAAGTTGTGGATGTGTAAATATGGTTCTAGAACGTATTTTATGTTTTAAAAATGAATTAATAATATATGTCGGAGCAATGGCGCTGGTATCAGTTGCCATTGTCAGTATATGTCACAGATCTCGTAAATTAACGTCAAAGTCTTTTAGTTTATAACCATTGATATTAGTGCTTTATTCGATTAACCAATATTACTAGATCTAAAATTACTACGTTTTGAACTAGTTTGACTTTTATGTTATTAAATTATAATGACAATGGCTGACACTAAACGCCATTGCTACGACATAATATATATTGGGAGTACAAGTTATGGGGAAACAGGGGGGGGGGTATAGAGGTGAAGTGCACGATATAGTTTACCTTAAAAATATTATTAATAATACTAATGCTCCAATCAAAATACAAAATCATTTTCATATAGGTACACTTAAGAATGTCAAAAAATAAATACATATTAAATGCTTCTAATTTTACATTTACTGCCAGTTCTGAAATCAAGGCATAGAACGGATGAGAAGAACTGGCAATAAACTCTCCGCCACTCTTTAATCGCCGAGCTGCAACCATTACACCATGTTCCACATGACATCTTGGGGATCAATGGGACTCTACATACTTTTAATATAATAGTATAATAATGTACGACTGACCAATTATTAAGAAATACGATGCCAAAGATTGAATTCACTATAACCCGGATCTTACAATAATAGTAATCGTAACTATAAGCGAATGCACGACTCCGTAATAACCCTGCAGGCATTAACGAGCGACAGCTAAAAAAGTTAGTGTGCCTGGCGTTAATGGAGAGACCGTTTTGCGATTTATGTGGTACATTTGCTTGAAGTGTTTTTACCTTATACGTTACTGCTAATGTTTGTGTACCAATACATGTGTAACTGAGACTCCAGTTTAAGACACAATTGTACTATTTTAAAGGACACTGTATTAGCGTGTTGTTCCCACGAGAATGTAAGTGCGTGCTCCTATTTCACTGTGCTTCCTTCTGATAGAAGACAAATCTTTGTTTTTATTTTTATTTTTTACTAATTACTTAAGATGTCATATGAAACATGGTGTAATGGTTGCAGCTTCTTACAAACATTGTGTAAAACAAAAAGGATTTGTGATTTTATAACTTTTTTTCACATTATAGACATTTAACTAAAAATTTTTGCAATAATATTCCATCCTAAAAATCGCTTTATCAATTAATTTTATACTTGGAAAATTGGAATGATAATGGAAAATAATAAAAGTAGACTAAGTCTCCAACTAATATTTTTATTGAACTCTGTGTCTTAGAGAGTACGACATACATAATACTTAACAATTATTTAGATTATATACACATATTAATAACAATTATTTAGATTAAATACACATATTAAATAATTGTCTATTCTACACTACACGGTCAGCTGCTGCTAACTATAGGCGCCGCCATATTGGCCGTGCCTGCTATGACCAGCGCCTTTCACTATATCCCTACTCCGCGGCCGACCGTCACGCGACATGCAACACACAAACGAAAAAGTTTGAAACGATGTAATAAAAATTTCACTTTAAAAGAGTGGCGGAGAGTTTATTGCCAGCTTCTCGTCCGTTCTACGCCCTTGATTTGAGAACTGGCAGTAAATGTAAAATTAGAAACATTTAGTATTTAATATGTATTTCTTTATTGACGTTCATATGTGTACATTGTGTTACCTAAATGAATTTTTTTTTAAAGTGTTAAAGAATTACATATGCGTTGAGGAATTTTGTACAACAATAAATATATGTAACTTTTTCAGTTACTGTCAAATAATCGAACTTTGCAAGACAGTCATTCAAAATTAGATTGTGAGTGCAAGTTTCATCTTATTTATCTGTCTCGCTGACTATGATTCCTAAAAACACTTGAAATATAATGTAAATAATTTAATAAATTCGCTTTTATATCCGTTAAAATTATTTTATTTAAGATTTGTATAGCAATACCATAACATTTATTTATTATACAACAGATTTTTAGACACATTACCCCACTTAAAGGGCAATACGTACAAGGCTCGGTTAAGTCAGATGCTGTCTAAAGGTGAAATTCAGAAATGAGACAGCGCTAAGAGTGAAAATGAAATGAAATGAAATGAAATGAAATAGTTTATTCTTGCAAGTAGGACTATATAAATCACTTTTACAATGTCATCCTAAACTAGATGAAGTCGACATTTCCTAACTGACTGCCCTGAGAAGAAATGTCGAAACAAACTCGGGGGTGACTCTCTAACGTCAAAAACCTACAAAATTTTGACGTAAGTGAGCTGTCGTATTTTATAGAATCGTTTAATACTTGTACCCCTGGCCTTAAAGGTTTCTATGGGCAACGGTTATGTGCTTGTTTGCCCTTTATCCGAATAAAGTAAGCTACTCTTGTATCAATAACATTATTTAAAGGATTTTAAATTATTCCGTTTAGTTTTCAAATGAAACTTTTGTGTTGACAAGCGTTGTGATTGTCTAGATAGCTTTATCCTAAGTTTGATAAAAACACTAACGTGTCCTTAAAAATTTGTATCTAAGACTTTTTCGTGTTCCGTTCAGAGGCACTGTTAAATATATTTAACCCATAACTTACCAAACTTGTAATAAAACGGCTGACCTTGTGTATATAATTTTCTCCGTTGCATTATCTATACATTTCAAAGCGTATCTTAATTTGCTATTAATTTCTTAACTAATTTCTTCTGACCCAATTACTCTTCTGAGTTTTGACAAGAATTTGTTTTTCAAACAATAGACGACCCTCATTATTCAGATATTAATTTCAAACAAAAAGTTTAACAAAGATGTTTTAATTAGTATACATAGTGGTTCGTTTGCTTTTCTTTGGAGAATATTTTTTTGCTGGCAATTGTCTCAATAATCTCGCATAAAACTCAACAGAAGCGAAGCGTGTTGAGTATGGGTTCTCCATTCTATGTTTTTTTTGATATCGTAGTTTTTTCCCAAGCTCATATGAACTAAATTTGAGGACTATCAGATGTTAAATTTTTTATGAAAAATTTAAGATTTTGCCTGGCATACGCTGTCAGTCACTACAATGTTTCTAAATAATTCTGCCTCAGTTGCTTAGTTGGTAATACCTTTTCGGTAATGGCTCATTACATCGAAATAATAATTCTGATTTGGTAGGGACAGAAAAAAACATCTATTATCAATTAAATTATAAATGTAACAAAAGATTTAACGGTCTCACTAACGGACATCCTACATACAAAAAAATTAATAACTTACTAAGCAAATGTTCATCAAATAAGTGACAGATACGAAGAGGATTAACTGCCAAAATTTATTCAATTTCTGGAATATCTTTTGTATTACATTGGAGCTTAAACTGTAATATATATTCATGAGAAGAAAGATTACGGTGATGATAATTTTGTAGCTTAGAGCATACTACACATTCTATCGATTATATAATGATTTAAAAAAGAGAAAACCTGAACTAAAATATGGGAACTCTAATAAAGGGGACATATAACAATTATTGAACTTAGGCTTTCTGGCTGCATATTAAAACATAAGGTTACATGCCCTTGGTAGAATAGATCCCAGGAGACACGGCTATGCGGAAGTTTTAGTAGATTTTGCTTACCCTACGCTATAAATAGCAGAGAGATCCCTAGTAATAAAAATGTTGATCAAATGGAAATTTACAAACCTTACATCAGCGTATCTAATGAATTCTATTTTCCAGTTTGGGCAGGTGCGCTCTGCGTAGGAGTGTCACGTGCCGCCGGAGCCATAGTTACCGCTCGTCGAAGGTCGCCACGGTTGGCAGGACTGCTGGGTGGCATTTTGCTTCCACTGGCCTGTCTCTTCACGTCATTCGCCACGCAGCTCCATCAAACACTTTTAAGTTACGGTAATAAGGGTTTCTATATAATATATGCACACACACACACACAGAGACAAAATACAAATGGGTGGTTTATTGTTGTTTTGATTGGTCAAATGGAACGACTAATTGTATCACGTGATTAGACTAGAGACACTGTTGACCAATCACAATAAAGCGATACGAGCTATCGTAACATCGCTATTTCTAAACCTCGAGTTATGTTTTCATCAATATTCGAGTAACTGATAAATAGAAAAAAAGAAACGGCCATTCGTTTGTTTTTCGTTCGTGAATCAATATTGGGACTGGTTGGGCACTGAAGCCGATTTCCTTTTTAAAGAGCATTCTAATTACTTCGGCTCCAGTATATCATTGAAGACTGTAATTTTAATTTTAATTACCTCATAATCGTGAACCTTCAGAAGGCGACGACTCCGGCAGGTGCAATAGTAATCGTAGGAAAATGATTTTATGCAAATATTAAAACTTAAAGTAATAATAATAGCATTTCCTTGAATTTAAATATTGAAAGGATATTCTTCTAGTAGCGGTACGCGAGTGTCTTGGTTTCAATAGTAACTATCTGATATAATAGCGGATAAATGGACTACCCGGTCAGTTATTAGATAGCCTAATGATAACCAACATAAAAAGTAAACTGAAGAACTATTTTTATATGCATTTGTCCCGCGAAACCACAGTGGTTTTCAAATGTAACATTCCATGATTTAGATTATATTATTCTGTAAAATAAATAAATTAAAAAATAATAATAATATGAAATATTCACCCTTGTTATTAGATATAGACAATAGACATAGACATAACATTTATTTCTAACAAAACACACAAAATAACAATAATCAAAGAATAAAATAAAAAAGAATGAGAGAACTATTTTTTTTCTTTTAAAGAATAAGGTACGTTTTAAGTGTGTAATGCGTGTGGTTGTAATTGGCCCTGGCTCAGCATTATGCTGAGGAGCAGACTGTTCCATAGCGCTGGTCATTCTGCCAGGGACCACAGCACCTAGTTTGAGCCTCAGTCGCAAAAAAAGAAAAAGACTATTATTTAAAGTCACTTTCGTTTATAACGGTTATACGAGTAGTCTGAAATTACAAATTGAAATTATTCAGTTTAAAAGCAGTTTTGTGTCTTCTTTTGAGTCTTTATAAATAAAAGATGTCCCAATTTTAGTAACAAAGATCCATCGTCACAAACTTTGGAGTTTATAATAATTTTTAAACTAAACTGACTTACAAAGTACATGATGTAATGTCGCTGCACAAAAAGTTTTAACAGCCAAGAATATGCAAATAGGAGACAATCAAATATGCAAGGAGTTTACGAAAATGGAACTTCTGAAGTGCCATATACGTTAAAGCATTTATTTAGTTGTTGAAGTAAACTGGCATTTTAAAATTTGACGATTTTTCTAAGACAGAGTTAAATAAATTTTGGCTGAAAATGTGTCATACATTTAAATATTTTTGAAGTGAAACTTTTTTAGGCTCTTGAGGGTAAATTTTTTACGGATGAAACGCAATAATAATAATATTAGCGTCACAAAGATGTACAGCGTTTTTGTCGAAGTAAAGGGAGAGAGCGATTGAGACCGATTGAGAATTCATGAAATATTAGTATTTTATATTTTATACAAAATAATTTATTGAAATTTCAACTGACGAATTGTAAATTAAAATGCCACGTGTTTTTATTATCGAAGATATACCTAAATTAAATTTATAATTTGTATTAATTTTCGACACTTGTAATATTTTAATGACAATTAAATTCATTAAATTCCTAACATATCTTTCTTATTCCCTTCCTCTAAGTCTTGGAAGTCTAAAGTTTTAGATTTGTATAAACAAGACTTAAAAATTTGTTTGCCAAAGAAGTTTCACATCTGAAATGTATACTTTGTACGCACGCACTTTTTTGTATAATTTTTATGTTACTGGTAATTCCTTTTCAGGCAAATATCAAAATAGCTCGTTAAACTCTAAAAAAAATTATATCAATAGTCGAAGTTTTTTATGAAGAATGCATTTGAGACACGGAAAAATTAAATATCTTGACAGTTCTAATACCTATAAAATGTATTTTCGTTTGAACTATTAATAATTGAATAAATGATACGGTTTTGCAGGTATAGTCTTAGGTATCGGATGTGGCTTAGTCCGGGAAGCGGCAGGCCTAGTCTTGGGGACATACTTTAGAAAACGAAGGCAGTTTGTTGAATTGGTGGCTCACGCAGGGGGAGGGGTGGGCATTGCTCTATTCAGCGTCGCCTATAAGGAGGCTGTTGGGTGAGTAAATATTGTATTTTTTTTTTTCACAGATACCTACTCAACAGTGATCATATACAACATCCTACAGATTAGAGGCCCATCAATTAGTATTACGTTAGCATTATAAGGGGAGGGGGTCTTTGATTTTCTTATTTAATGATTACGTCAAGAGTAATTATTAAGTTTTTTACACATATTACCCACACATTGTCTATGCTTGAAAACGAATTGCATTTTCGAGGATTTCTACAAAAAAATAATACGTTTATGTACTATTATTTCTGAAAGCTTTGCTTACTTTTGCTGATAAGGGAGGGGAGGGGGGAGAATAGCTTACTAAATTTTTTACTGTGCTTACTGCTTTGTCAGCTTTCTGAAAGACCTTAGCATGAACTTTACAATAGTCAGTAATATAAAACGATAATGTAAGCTTTTAACAGATCACAAACATATCTATTTCACGGCACGAATTCTATTGAATCCGTTTAGTTTCACATAGACTTCTTTTCATAGTTAACATCTAAAGTTAAATACTCAATTCGTAGTTTTGATTCATTTAAGTCTTTAATTTACAGACGAAATTAATAGGAATAAATATTGACATTATTAAATTAAAGCAAGTATGGTTAAGCAATAAATTTTATCGAATACATGTTTAACGTAAATAAACTTGCCTCTCTTGTACAAACAAGTACGATTTTTTTTTTCAGAGATATCAAGTCATTCATTTGGTTAAAAACTACCAGCAAATTCTTAATCAAACCATTTTACTAACTTATCTACACTAATACATAACTTATAATAAATCTCTCTCGTATTATTAGTCGGCTTTAACTCTTTAGAAAGCGGCGAACAAAGATTTTAAATTTTCACATTTTCAATATGAAAGCAAATAACCCTGCCAAAAACTGAAAATCGCCATTTATATCGTTTAGAGAGCTTAAATCACAAACTATTCAATCGTATACTTCGAAAGCTGTGCCGTGTATTGGGAACTGAAATTCAGCTCATAGTGGTTTTCGATTCACACCCTCTCAAATGAAATTCTGACGTATATTATGTAGCCGGTTTTGTTACTTCTATCCAATTATAGCGTTATATATATATTTTTTTTAATACAATAACAAATTGTACGATTAAAATTTTATGAAATTAATGATTGAAAATAATTCACCTATATATTTTGAGTAATTCTAATTTAAAAGTTATATATTAAAGCTTATTACCTCGCTGTTTTGAGGAAAATCGTGAATAAATGTAGTATCACAAAAATAATTTTTTAATTTGAAAAGTTCGTTTAGCAAGTAAAAAAAATCAGTGCCGCTACAATCTCTTTAGGTCTTAGCCTCAGATTTCTGAGTCTGTTTCATGATCATTTTTAAATCTAATAGGCAAGTAGGTGATCAGTCTCCAGTGCCTGACACACGTCGTCGACTTTTTGGGTCTAAGATATGTCGGTTTCCTCACGATGTTTTCCTTCACCGTTCGAGCAAATGTAAATGCGCACATAGAAAGAAATTCCATTGGTGCACAGCCGTGATCGAACCTTCGACCTCAGGTATGAGAGTCGCACGCTGTAGCCACTAGGCCAACAATGCTCTTTACAACACTCCTTAGCAAGTAAAACCCCACACAATCTTCAGCTTATAATAAGTATACTTTAATATAAATCTAATATATATTTTTTTACAGTAGATTTTTATAAAGGCTAATCAATGTTAAAATTAATTTTTCATTGTGTTCGTAACTATCCAGATTGATAATTGTATTACATTCAACCCTGGAACAGCTTTTGTATAATTTATTTTATAAATACGAATTGAAATATATTTGCAGTAAACTAGGCTGGAGACTAGGTCTACAGGCAATCACAGGATTCCTAATATTAGCCTTCTTCCTGAGTACTGTGTACCGAAGTGCTTCACTCTATCATCCGCAACGAAGGGCCATTATGCATCTCAAAAACCAACGGAAAAAGGTTAGATATTTCTAATAAATTATTATCAATCTAATACCACTTAATAATGATATTATTCCATATCAATTTGGTTATTTATTCCATGCATTTAGACTTTTGAGATTTTTTTTTTCAATTACTTTGTGATTTGAAATAAATATGGTTATTAAAATCTTTCTTCTTTCTCATGTAAGACTCATTAGTTCCCTGCAAATGCATTTAATAAATATGCATAAGGTTAATTAATTAAATCAATTCAAAACTTTTGAATAAACTGTTGAATGGATTTTTAATATACGTAGTCAACGTCACTCAATATATTTATTAAAAACAATTATTAATAAAAACTATAGTACAATCAGACTTAAATGTAGTTTCATTTAATTATTCTAATTACAAAGTTAAATATAAGAAATTAAACTAGAAAAATCAAAAGTCCGGAGTTTTTATTAATAACCACATGTTTCACTTTGACAATAGGTAAAAGAGAAAGTCCTGAAAAAGGCTCAGTTCATAGATCTGAGTCCGCTTCAATCCCGTCCCGCGAAAGTTTTGCTATTATCAGCCGGCTTGGCGGCATTTGGTCTATATACGCCCGTATTTTTCCTGGTAAGTAATATTATGTTAATTTTTTATGTAAATTATGTCAATAATAATCTTAACTAAAAGAAATAAAACATGATTTGTTCGGAATGGGAATTGTTCTTCCAATTGGTATAAGTTTAGACCGATACAAAATATTAATATTTGATTTCTTTTTCTACATCGAAAATAACGATGCACAATTTGTACAAATATTTGAAATATGTGTGTAGGAGCATATATCGCAATGCAGCTAGCAAATTTAACTAACATCAATTATTATATTTTTATGATGTCTTTTTCAAGTTTATTTTTAATATTTTATAATAATATAATGCCTTTACAGTTTACGGCTTAAATAGGTAACTATAGGTATCCATAACATTATATTTAAATGTTTCTATGACTGACTTGTCACTCAACATTACAAGTATAGCTGAGTTCCACCAAATTAATTAAAATAATAAAACATAAAATAGATGTTCCTATATATTTCAAACTTTCAGGCTCTCCAGGGCTTCCAAGAGGGATTAGAGGAGAGTGCGCTAGTATTATTGCAGACATTTCTTGGCTTCGCCGCTGTACTTGGCTGTGCGGGCTTTGGGCTCGTACTCGTCAGACCTTCTACGCAGTGCCTTGTTTCCAAGCAATATCTATGTCAGTCGGCCATGTTAGGAATAGGTATACTATTTTATAATTAGTTTGTTTATTTTTCGCCTCTTTCGATGATATAACCAGTTTCATCTAAACGCGATTGACTCTTGAAAGTTACTTAATCAAGTCTTCGAAAGCTTTTTGGTTTAAGTTATAGCAACTTCGATATTTTTCATAAACTTTATAGATTAGAACCAATACAGGAAACACTTTTCGAAGCATTATTGCATAGTCATTTTAACAGCTTTGAAAGAGGTAGCTGATAAGACGATTAGATTAGACGAAAATTTTTAAATTTAATTTTTAATTTTGTAAATAAAATCAGGGACCAAACTTTTATAATTTTAATTTTCTATTTATAAATTTAATTATCACTTTAATATGTAGGTTATTGTAAATAAAATTTATTTCAACAGGAATATCAATGCTGGCTCTAAGCAGCGTCGAAGGTTATCACGGCTACGTATTATTCGCGTGGATGTACGGACTCTGTTTGGGAGGGTTCCTTTATTCCATGAAAATGCTCACAATGGAGCGAGTTAGAGGTCGGCACTTCACCAAAGTTTGGAGTGAGTACTTCGTTCAAAAGTTCCCAATGTCTAGTTAAAACTTTGAAACTAAATCGGCTATTCTCTTAACAGGTTTCGTTCAGGGCGCGGAGGCGATTCCGGTAATCGTCGGAGTGCCCGTGACGGGTTATATAAACCAGCAAGTGCCTCGCGCTGGATTTTACTTTTCCACAGCTTCGACTTTATTAGGAGCTATTTTGTTGTTTTTCGTTGGGTTTTCTAAGCGGGAGCCTGAACCGCCCTTGGCCCCGGCGGTTTCTGAGGCTTGTCTTTGTCTGACCCCGCCTCGCTGTGAACCAGCTTGGTGCGCTTGTAGCGTCGGTGGAGCGACAACTTATTGCGCGTGGACGGGGAACTCTTGTAGTATGTCCCGTCTTCCGAAGTCGTTGTCGTATGGGGCGCCCCTTAATAGGCCTTGCTGCATGACGCCGTACCCGGAATGCTGTCGACGGGCTACCTTGCGGCCTTCGCGAAGTGTTCCCGAGGGGTTAGCCCGCCGTGGGGTCTGGAGCCGCAATGGCTCATGTCGGGCGTCTTGCCACCGCCGTGAACATCATTTAATAGAACAAATCACCACTTCTGTTTAATATGTACATAGATTTTTTGTTTGAAATCGAATTGCCCTATTTGGAATATTCTTCCTTGTTATATCCTCCGTATTCAAATGACGGATGTCTTAGATAAACAGGAAGACGGTCTTTCCGTCATTTTATTTGATTTGCTGCTCGTCTTATTTGAAGTACGAAGTTATGTAACGAACTTATTATTTCCAAAAGACTGTTTCGATGTTTGAAATTTGTTTCGTACAAATTTTATATCTCCCATTCTTAAGTACTGCGGGACCTTTGATGTAGTAATATTTTGTATAATTGATCTACCTTCGTAGTTAAAATCTATCGTAACTTTTATCGTTCAAAACTTGTAGTAAGATTATTGTGAATATAGTTAAAATAAACTTACCTATTAATTAAGGAACATTGTCAATTTAAAAGTTTGTTACAGAGGTATTGTAATATTTATTTGAATTATGTGATTGTTACCATATTAACTAATAATTAATTTTATAAGTAACAGTTTGAGAGTTTTATGACAATTGTTTTTCTACAATACTGTTCAAATTATTATTTAAATATTAAAGTTTTAGAAAAAGGAATTCGTTTTTCTTTTAAACTACCGTTTACCTACGGGTTAGTGGTGGATGCAGATAACTTGGATAGGAATCCCGAGGAAACTCTAAAAAAAATATGTCTATGGATCATAAATTTAAAGTCTAAACTAAAATGACGCGACATAGATAATGAAACACTATTTAGAATTTTACGTAGAGATATATATTACGGTACACTGTCCATTTATTCAGCTTGAGCGTTTGACCACAAAATTTAGTGGGTAACATAGGCATCCGGAACATGCCTCACGCAAAGGTTGTGGAGAACGGAAATTCCGGTAATAAATATCACGCCATCCCACTGTTCTAGAGGTTTGAATGATTATCGGTTAGATATTCGATGAAAGCCTTTTCCACATTAACGAATTTCAGTGGTTTACTGATTTAGTGCAGAGATTTTAGCTATCAATTTTAATCGTAGATTCATATAAATTTTTATTGAGTTCAAATATCAGGTCAGGTATGATCAAGGCGTGCGTCCGATCCCCGGAAATGCATCAATTTTCTTTTATATATATAACGCACCCATACGCTGAAGGCAAGCATTGCGACGAAGCCGAGATGTCGACCCAAAAATTGACGGAAACATCGTAGGCTACCCTTAGTCCCCAAAATGCGACGACGTAAGTCAGTAACACAAGGGTTAGAGAAAATTTTATAAATAACACATACAGAAATGTGTCTGACTATTAAAAAAAACAGTAATCGAATTTAATATACATTTAATGTTTCTCAAAGATATTTTGTATTGTGATTATGGACAGCTTTTATGCCGAGTTTGTTAAACTTATATAAATCACCATTAAAATCGTCGCACGCAATATGCCTTACTGAAAGGATGACTAATGTTCCTCGTGATCTAAGACGTTTTCAAATGGATTACAAATGAACGTGCCAAGTGTAAGACAATGAAGATATTCACCAATCATTGGGAAGGATTACTTCGAATTGTTTGGTTTTATATTTGAACAAAGAATACGTAACAAAACTTGGCAAATCGTGATACAGTGATATATGTTTTTCATACATTAATACAATACGTTAACCAATGTCCTTGTGTAGAATAACACCGCCTTTCCGGGTTTTATAAAAAAATAACCCCCTTTTTTCCCCCCCGAAAGAGTTCCTTTTTTTTTTTTTTCCCCAAAAAACCCCCCCCCCCCCCCCCGGGGGGGGTTTACGGGGGCCCCCCCCTTTCCTTTTTTTTTTTTCCTTTTTTTTTTTTTTTTTTTTTTTTGTTTAGCCTCAGATCAAGGCTGGTTCCTTTAGGTTATTTCAGGAGCTTCAAAGTTTAACTGAAGAGGAAAAAATTGTTTTAAAATGGCAAGGTCACATAAGATACCATAGCATATATAGGAAGTAAATAATTATATTTATTTATTTAGGAAACAAAACAGATACATCTCTTTAAAATAAAACATAAAATTAACACATTGGATATGTCCACAAAAAGTTTCACTGATAAAAATACTGTCAATAAATATACTTTAAATGTGTTTCGTTTGTTACTTTATTATTATGACATTATCTCTCAACCAAAATTGGTAATAAAAAAAACTGGCGGAGAGTTGCTTGCCAGTTCATCTCGCACGCTCTACGCCCAGCCTTGCGATTCTGTAACCCACTTTTCGAACTCATACGGCTGTTTTCACAGCGGCGGTCGCGAGCAAATCAGTCGTGAAGCAGTCATTTTACGATTTGGCATTCTGATATAAGGAGGGAGTTTGTAGTTTATTATTTATCAGAATGCCAAATCGTAAAATGACTGCTTCACGACTGATTTGAGCGCGACCGCCGCTGTTAAAACCCCTGTGTGAGTTCGAAAAGTGAGTTACAGAATCGCAAGGCAGTTCAGTAAATAAATTTTAATTATAATTTGATTTGATATGAAAACATGTTTGATATCCAATTGGAATAGCATACAACTTTGAGGAAAATTAGAATCTTCACAGGTCTTATAAAAGATTTTATATCCACAATATAAATTTATTCAAATATTTACTTTATGAATCACTTCCGATACTGAATGGAACGATTTAGCTTTCGCTTTCGTTAAACAGGCAATTAATACATCAAACACAGTATGTAAATAGTAATTTGAATCCGCATTGAGGAAAATTCATGGAAACGACAACCACATGAAATGTTGACATTTCCATAGGGACATGAAATACATTGATAATGCAAAACTTCACGGCTATTTGCTAACTCTGGGGTTTATAATCGTCGACTTATGTGTTATCATTAAGTCCTGATAATTAACTAAACATTTAATTATGAGATATGGAACTCTCCGTTTCACAAGCTAAGACAAAGGTTCCTCGTGGTTAGTAAGAAATTTCAATTTATATGTAATACATAAAAACTAATACTAAAAATATATGTAGGATATACACAGATTCAATAGCTTACCTATAATATGCATGTCTATTATTGAAGTGAAACTTCTTTAGGCGCATGAGGGTAAAATTTTTACGTAATGTCACGAAGATGTGCAGCGTTTTTGTCGAATAAAAGGGAGAGAGCGATTGAGACCGATAGAGAGAGAGAGTGAGAAGGGTTAATTAAAGAAATTCTATTTTTAAAATTAAAATTTCGGAATGAGAATTTATGAAATATAATTATTTTATATTCTATGCAAAATAATTTATTGAAATCTCAAATGACGAATTAAAATGCCACGTGTTTTTATTATCACAGAAATACATTTAAAAAATTAAATTTATTATTTGTATTAATTTTCGACACTTAATATTTTAATATCAATTAAATTCCTAACATATTTTCCTTTTTCTCTCCATCTAAGTCTCGGAAACCTAATGTTTTGGATTTGTATAAATATGAAAAAAAGTTAAAAATTAGTTTGCTAAACAAGTTTCACTTCCGACATGTGTACTTTGTACGCACACACTTTTTATTTATTATATTCACTTTAGGTGTCAAATGACATGAGCTAAGAAATGCTGTATAAAATGATATCAGATGATCAGAATTTCATTGGAGTGCATTTAAATAAAATTGGTGTTTTTTGAATAGGATACAATTAAAACCCACTAAATGTAAACGTAATTGTAACCTCTAAACATAATTTGTTTCATGTCGGATGCGAAATTCCTTTGAATTATGTAACACCCGATGCAGCTTCGTTCCACGTACTTAAATATGCATATCATTATCAAGAATTCTGGACGAGCGTTGCATGTTTACTTACATGTGTTTAAATTGCTTTTTCTGAGCATATAGAATAACCAGATTTGTGGATTGTTTGCGGGAAAAATATTGTTTTTGACGTCTTGCTTCGCTCAAATATTTATCATTTGGATTAGCATGCACGGTTTGTTACGAAATTAATATACAGATTGAAACATTACTTTTGTTTTTGATTATTTTATAAACAGAATACAGTTTATTCTACCTAGCAAGAAAAAAATAGTAGACCTATCACGGCGCACTTAAGTACATTTTCAAGGGTCTCTGGAGGGTCCTGAGAATATGGGCAGTGGGAATTTTAATTATTTTTAGTGAATAATAAGTTAAGTTTTAGTGAATAATAAAAGCAGTTGACAATGACAGTTGACGGCAACCCGACCATATGCCTCCAGACGTTGCAGGTGTCCATCGGCGGGCGGCGGTAAACACTTCTTTAACGCCTGCTTGCAAAAAACATGCAACATTTTCTAGTTTCTAGGTACGGTGTAACCCAAGATACCTTATGTGCAAAATTTAGCAAGTAGGAATATCCTCCAAATTGAAGGCAATTAATTAGGTACCTTATTTGTCTTTGGTACTTGATGTCCCCGAATCTGTCTAGGATATAAAATAGTCTTTTCTCCAATGTCCCATATATCACACGAACAATCTCATTACTTTATAAACGCAAAGCTATCCATGCATATAATTAATTGTGAAAGTTACAATTTTCCGATTTACATAATTATCCCTAGAGGGCACTTTTATGGAGTCACAGAGGAAAACTCCGAAATTTATTATTAATAAATTCACTACTTTCACTTACAAGTATGTAATAATATGCCGTTTAAAGGGAAACCGGCGTATTTTAATAAAATAAATTCTAAAGCTTTGTCAACTGGACTTTAATAGATTTTGTCAGGTGGATATTTGTACTGGTGAAGCATTTCGTGTGGGCTCTTTAGTAGGCTTTCAGAATTCAGCAGGTCGCTCCATTTGCAATACCTTCGAGCTATCGATCACAAGAACTAATCGTCTTTACACAGGTGTAAATCTTACATCGAATATTTTTATAACATCGACATATTTTTTGCACCCTTAGAGATCGCAGCTAGGCTAGAATAAAAATCATTTAATAATTTCCTATGACCAAGTTTTCTTCTTGGAAAGCTTTTGTTGTATATAAAACTGTAGAGACGTCAATGTTTGCTTACGTAAAGACGTGTAAAT